TAGTCATCCAAGTAGTCATAAGAGGACTAAAACATTACTTTTCTCCCATGTCCTTTCTCTAGTAAGTTCAAAAACTAATAGCCAGGTCTTAGTGCCTACAGATTTCAAAATGAATACTCTAAACACAATGGAAATTTTTGTCAAATCCTGTTTATTTTGTAAACAAGCACACAGAGAAATAATGGAATTATTACTTGAGTAACTAGGAAAATAAGTTATGTTGGTGATACACAATAAGGGTTGGGAAGAAATACTGAAAGCATTCTCAGACAAAGTGGTACAAAGACAGCCCTTTTCAGCCTCCTCTACTTCACTGTGCAAGGCTAGAAGAGACAGATTCCAAGTCACTATCTGAGTCAAGTTATGCTAAAACATGCCACAGTCCAAAATTAGAAGTATAATCCGTCAATATGCCAAACTGATTTACTGAAAGTCCCCTTAACTCAGATAATCAGAAGTTGTTATTGTAACTTCATTGTTTCTTAATTTTATTACTACACTGAGAAGATGATTATCTTCCTCTTGGTTTGATCTGTCATCTTTACTTCTTGAATTCCTGCTTGTCTGCCATATCTTAATTAAAAGCTCATTGCCCTTCTAATGGAAGTCCTACATAAATGTTCTGCTTATATTTCTCATCACATTATTTCTACTAGCTTGTTCCTTCTGCTTTTCTCAACCATCTCGCTTCAGCACTTTCTGTTCTACTGCCTTCTGGAGTTTTGCCTTCTGACTTACTCTTCCTTGTGTTTGTCATCACAGTTAACACAAACTGTGGTCAAAAATTTGGACAGAAGTTGAAGAAAAAATACAATTACCCCTAATCAAAAGTGCTCCTCACCTGTACTAAGAGATCACATGTTGATTCCATGGAGAAGTTTCTTTGTTATTCAGTGACAAGCAGGACAGAAGCCTCAGCAGACACAGGGCAACCAGCATAACCCTTCAGAGGCACAGTACAATCTGAATGATACACACTTGTTAGAAACAGCCTCTCATTTATGTGAAGTTCTGTGTTAGAACGAATATTTCAGAGTTTTTAGTAAAAATTATGACTTTTAATTTAATGGTCTTGATCAATGTAAACAGATTTTAAATGATAAAGTTTGAGTTCTAGTTCAAGCACTGCATGTCAATACTACCCATGGCATTTGCACTATTTGCAAACGTTCCAGTAATGTGAGTTGTTAAAAAATTACACTGAAAAGGTGCTTATATACTTAATCTAGTCATGGAATTTATATGACCACCTTAATGAAATGAATATCAAATGTTCTATATATGTAGTAGAATAGCTGAAGTCTGCAAATAATAGTCTTTGAATGAGAATGCCTGGAACAAAAAAGTTTTTCTCAGGAGATGCTTCCTTCTGGAAATCAGATGACTTAAAGACAGAGGTTCCACTCAGATCAGCTGTAGTGACTGAAAGTCAGAAATGGCCTTATCTTTCATTAATAGCCTCAGAACTCATTGGTAGTACTAACTGGTACTCCATCTTCTGAGAACAAGTTTCAAAATGCAGATTATTCTTTCTTTGAAAAAAAAGTCACTTCCTTTTATCTTTCAAATCTCAGTTTTAATAACTTTGTTGCGTGTTCAGTTGTTCTTGCATTATAACCCATAGTGACCAATAAGTCCTTATTAACATATTTCTTATTATTAGTGTATTGGCACATTATTCTTACATTTTAGTTCTATAATTCAGGCTGAGGAGTCCTGTTCTACTTAAATGAGGAATTATTCTGTACAAGGGAAGATTAAATTGTTTCTTTATGAAATTTAAAAATCCATTATACATGTATTTCAGAGATCAGTGAACCGAAATTATACACTAGCATAGTCATATTTCTGCATTTATTTGTTAATAATTTTGAACATGCTAGCATTTTTCAATTGCTGCTAATGACTGAGTTGACATTTTCAGATAGTTACTGGCAAAAAATGCCAGATCTTTCTTAACTACAAGGATCTAATTTAGAGTGTAACCTTATATGTCTACAAACACATATATTGATATTTACATCTTTAGGGTCACTGTATTTTGAAGATACATGTAACTTGGTCACTTGAATCTGTGACATTCTTTGAAATGCTTTGATGGCACTCTTAAAATTCAATATTCTGAATAATTTTTCACCAGCAAGTTGCATTAAACCAAAAGCTAAAGCTTCTAGAAACAGATACACAGACACAAGAAACTAAGTAAGACAGAGGGGAATGATTTTGCTGTACTGTTTTCTTCCTTTTAAGTTTTCAGAAGCACTTTCATGGCATAACAGTTCTGTGCATTCTAGCCACAAAGAAATCCATTTACTGGAGTCCAACCATGATGTTTTGGTTCTCCCTCACAGAAAAAATGCAAGAGGTCTCCAAATCCATGGTTGAGGCATATTTCCTGGAGGCCCAGTGAACAAGATACTTTCTTGTGTTTTCAAATCCAGTTATCACACTGACACTTTATCAAGATTGAAAACTGAAAGAGACCATGAAACTTTACACATCTCTTCTTTAAACAGCCCTAACGCCAAACAGCTGACAATATTAATATGCAATATCTAAGGCATAGTTGATAAAGAACAAATCATACGCAAAACTGTGTTTAAAGCGGCTGAGATTCTAAATTTCTAGTAAACTCAAGATGGTATCTGTAAAGGCAAGGAAATTATACTAAATAGGACAAGCAGCAAATCAATTTGCAAGCTTAGCAGGGCATAGCAAATTTGCAAATATTTGCAAAGTGCTTATATTCAGGTAAAAAAATAAAACTAAATCTATTTCACCAAAGTAAAACAAAGAGGAAAAAAAGGTTTTAGGAAGCATCAGTTTTGTCCTAATCATCAGATAAAAAGTAGCAAGGGCATATTCTTCTTAATGTGCTAGGTTGAAGTACCAGCTGCTGCTCCCAGAATTTCATCAGGTGACCTCTGTACAGTGAAGAAAGTTAATGTAACTGATTTTTTGCCTAAGAGCACAATCCCCCTCAAAATCCTATCCATTGGTTTCACTGAAAGGTATCTGTTAGCAGGAAACACTTGGGTAGTGACATAATCTTTCATCAATGTGACCTGCCTAATGAGAACCATGAGTGAAATCCTGATTCAATAGCAGAAATTTATTAACTGGATTGGTCCAACTTGATTACCACTATTTCCCTCAAAAAAAAGGTAGGTAGGAGACATGGCAAGATTGGTAATTGCCAAATAAAAGTAGTAAAAGGTGTGATCTGCCAATGAATAGCATGGCTTGGTATCATGAAAACCATACATGAATACATCTACATAGTTCAGCTTATCCTCCTTTTTGTGAAATTCCCTATTGCTTCATTGAATGAACTGTTGCTTATTAAGTTATGAAAAAGAATCTATATGGTTCTAAACTATAAGTGTAATCAGTGAAGAAAAAAGGACAAGCATTTTACTTCAATGTCTACAAAGTTAGAAGAGCGCAAGAAGAAAATTTTGGTGACTAGGTCTCGAAAGCCAAGAAAACACAATGTGCATCGCAAGAGTCACAAGTTGCAAGTGTTTAATTTATTTGCAATAAATATCTTGTTGTTCACATTATAAACATCACATAATATGAAATGCTGCCAACTTCTAAAAACATTCAAATGAGTCAATTTTTAATCACATACAACTTTAGTTAGCTAAAACCACTAACTTTTGTATGGATTTATGAACTAAATTTCAACTACTTCACTCAGAAATGTTAGGCACAAACATCTGAAGCAGCTGACGATGAGGTCATGCATGCTCAGTGCAAGTACATCTGGAAGAAAGACAACAAGCCAACAGTCTAAAACATTTCCTTTGAACTTGATGAGCATGGTATGCTTCAAGAAACATAAGCCATAATATGGTTTTATACAACAAGTTCCGACCTTTCAGTTGCGCACAAAATCAACTGGAAAATAAACTGCAGTGTCAGGGCATTGCTTAACATGAAATATTGCTAACCAGTTAAGTACCAGATTAGTCCTTTGCCCAAGATGGATCTGCAAAGAGCCTGCAGCCTTTGCATTCCTGGGGCTCTTCCTCAGCTAAGATCAAAGCTCAGATGTGCAAATATAGGTAGGGCCAGCTATAATTTTGCAACTCCTGAACAAGTGCTCCTCTTCCCAGCCTTCATCCACAAATAATAAAAAGGAAAAAATGGTCCATCAGTTAGACGTTACAGTTTTTACCCTGGTCCACAAATGGTAACAAAAACCAATGCCCTTTGAGGTTTGCCGATGGGCTCAGTGAGAAAAGCTCAAAGTAGATAGTTTTTTGCCTTACTGCCGCGAAACAAGGGCCATAGAAACATTGCTGCCACCAATTCTCTCATTTTATTTACTACTGAGGTGAAAAAACATTCCTTCCCCACCTCTTCCTTGCTTAAGGCCTGGGAACTGTGTGGTTTGTCTTCCAGTTCGGCAGGAAATGTTTTTAGAAGATCCACAGTGTGAAAAATGCTAGGACACGAGAAACAACTGATGTATCTTGAGGTGTAATTTATGTCACTAATAGTCCATCGGTCCCTATATAAATACCAAAATCTGAGTTCATTAGGAGTTGCACAACCTGCAAACAGATTATGGTGTCAGACTACCTGAATCACTGATACTGGCAGGACTAATGCAAGTCATATTTCCTTTGAGTCTTATTTCCTTTCTCAGATTGTACTCTCAAACAGGCCCTGTAGTGCAGTAAGAGACACAAGAGCTGTTCAGTATTTACTTAAAAAATTAAATATATTTTACATTTTTAAAAAGTGTTTTGTGGTAAGAATGAGGAATGTAAGAACAACCAATTCATCAAAATAAAATGCTCCATAGTCACCATCAGCTTTTTATATAGCTAAGGAAAGTGGAATCCATTAGTCATTCAGTAATTATGGAATAGGGCATTAAACAATAGTTTTCTATTTGAAAGTGAGGTCAAAATTAGAAGGAAAAAAAGGACACTAATTGCTAGCATGCGTCATCTTGATTTTCATTTTATTTTCCCACCAGATTCAAGAAAGCTCAAGGGTCAGGTCAGACTGTTGAAATAGTATTTAATCAACCTTGAATATCAGTTGAAAAAGAAAATTATGATATAGATAACATATAAAATTTTTATGGGGATAAGAAAAGCCAGTTTTCACTATTTACACTTGAAGACAGGAACTATTGTTATTTTTCCAGAGAACAATCATTTTTACTAAGAATATGGAGGAACAAGAAGGGCCTAGAGTCTCAGAATATCCATTGACAATAAACACAGGGAAAGGAATAAAGAGGTAGGGAAATCTGAAAAAAGATGACACTGAGTTCCCTGGTTCCCAACACTGGACAAAAATGTTAGGAACTCCCTGTCTGTTTTAAAGGCTACTTTGCCTCTACGTATTACCAGAGAAATTCTTACAGTAAGCTCAAATATATTCTTACAAGTTGTTAAACAGGCCTAAACAAATATTTGAAAGTTCAATTGTCTCCCAGAAATGTGATTCTTCCATTTACACAAAAACATACTGATATAAACAGAACAATGATAATTTATATTATCTGTTGAATTTTTCTTACTAAACTTGGTTACTGCCAGACTGTTTTGTACAAATAGCTCTATAAACATGCTGTTAATTCAGCATTCTCACATGAAAGAAGTAACAGTGTTACTTCTAACTGGAAACTTCAAGACCAAGAAAGTCTCAGAAATGAGTGGAATATTTATACAACATATTCCAAGTGAACATCACAAAAACTATTTTGGAATACATACATATTTAAACCATAAATTTGGTTTAAAAATCCCACATGGGATTTTTTACAGAAAAAGTGCTTGAAGAGGTGGGGTTTTTTTTGCAGTTGAAAAGTCAAATGGAATAGGATAGCTGCTAAAAACCATTTTACTAAAGGTCATACTTGAGCCTTCACAAACAAGAATTTTAATTATTACCCTAGCAGCCAGCAATTAAGTTTGCACATCTGATAGCTTTACAACATAGACTGGAAAACTGCATCAAACTACATACATTTATACGGCAATTGCTACAGTCAGGAGTTCAGGTTTTTGATTTGTTTCAGAAAGCCTGTATAGAAACTAGGAAACGTAAGGTACTTCTGCTCTGGAAGATTCAACTGTAATCATAGTATATCCAATATCCTGAGCCTTTAAAATCATGGATGTCCTAGAGACAATGAACAGAATGTAAGGAACATCTCCCACATGACAGTTCAGTGCGGAATACTGCATCCAAGTTTCTTTTCTTCATCTAAAAGTGATCTGCCATATTAAAGCAGATCTGTAAATTAGAGGAGCCTGAGAACACTGCATTTTGGTTTTGCCAATTCTGTCTATTGGCGACTTTCTGGCATGGAGTATATTCCAGTATAATTTATGAAGGAAACTTTTAAGATTGTGATGTTTAAGAAAGGAAACAGATCCAGAGAAGTTAAGAAATGTTCAGTTTAATTCAAGTTATTTAAAAAACATGTGAACATATTACTTTTCCTTGCCTGAGCCAATAGAATAACCGCTAGGCAAGTTAACAGTCAAGAATCTGTCAAAGAGAAATTGTGCCGGACCTGAACACTGGACACAGAAATGACCAGTTTTCTGTACAATACCAGGTGTTAGGGTGGAACACATCATGTACCTTGCCTTGAACAACTCTATCAGATGTGTATTGGGTTTGTATGGCCAGATTTTTTGACTCTGAGGAGACCAAACAGGAAATAGCTTATGCGGTAGCTCTTGGTCCTCTTCAGAAAAACTAACCAGAAGGATATAACTTAGCTTTTATATCTGAGCTGATGTCATAAGATAAGGGGAGAAGGAAAGGAGGGGAGGCATTCATTATTTACAATGTTTGCCTTCTAGAGTAACTGCTTCAGGTGCTGAAGCCCTCCATCCCAGGAAATAAACCAAACACCACTTGCTGACAGGAAGTAGAGAATAAACCTCGTTATTTTCCTCTTTGCTTGTGTGCATGCAAACTTTTGCCTTTGCTTTAGTAAACTGCCTTATCGCAACCTACGAGTCATTTTCCACCTTATTCTCTCTCCCCTGTCCAGCTGGGAAGGGGAGTGATAGAGCAGCTTGGCGGGCACCTGGCATTCAGCCAAGGTCAACCCACTACAGATGTTCTGTAAAAGCTCAGAGAAAGTAGTCTAAATAAAATCATTCTAAGACAGAGGGAAACTGTGCAGAGGGATAGGGTAATCAATTGTTCCCTATCAGAGTGAAAAGAAGTATTAGATTCAAATAAAAAGTAAGTAAAGGCCAGTATTGTGCAGCATTTTCATTAATTATTTACAACAATTAGAGTATGTTTATTACATTTGAAGACAACATCTGGCTGAAAAATACTGCTGATTTGCTGAAGGACAGGTTTAACATACAGCCCAAAATTAGAGAAATGGCTTAAAGGGGAAAAAACTTGTCAGACAACAAGTACTGACACTTGGGTAGGAATAAACAACACAAGATGGGAAAAAGCAGGTTAAGTAACAGTTGTTTTAAGATCAAACCTGTTACAGAGTAGACAAAGAAGGCTGGAAGGGAGAAAGGAGAAATTATAATTGCAATCCGAACATGTTAACAATATCAAGCCCTGATGGCAAAAAGTGTCATACTGTGTAATGACATAATGTGTAACCATGGAATGTGTAATACTAGGATGTATAACCATGAATAGAGCTTGTAAATTGGATGGGAAAAAACTCCATAATCTTACTGGTGGTCTTCCTGGTTTTTCCAAGACTGTAGCCTGACTGCCATGTCTTGGTTTTCTAGACAGTTCTAGTTCACTTAGAGAGAGATCAGCATGGAGAATGCACGAGGGAGGCCTCACTGCAGCCTTCCAGAAGCTTAAGGGGGTGTATAAAAAAGGAAGAGATGGACTTTTCATATGGGCAGATAATGACAGAACAAAGGGAAATGGTTTTAAATTGAAAGAGGGCAGGTTTAGATTAGATGTTAACAAGAAATTCTTTACACAGATGGTGCTGATGTACTGGAAGGGGCTGCCTAGAGAAGTTGTGGATGCCCCATCCCTGGAAGTGTTCATGGCCAGGTTGGGGCCCTGAGCAACTTGGTCTAGTGAAAGTTGTCCCTGTCCATGGCAGATGGTTGGAGCTAGATGATCTTTAAGGTCCCTTCCAACCCAAACCATTCTATTATCAGAAAAGAAAGAGAAGTTGTCAGCGTGTTACAAAGAAAGACAGACAGCAGGAGCTTGGGTTGTCTCATATACTGAAGAAAAGACTTAAGACTCTAAGTTTTGCAGAACTCAGGGAAAAAATGAGGGTTTTTCACCTTTGGAAAAAAAGGTCAGGCAACTCAGGAAATGTTTAAGGATGTTGTCAGGTCATGTAGGAAGAAAATTAGAGGGTGAAAGCACAATTTGAACTTAATCTGGCCACTTCTGTAAAGGATAATAAAAAGTGTTTTTATAAATACATTAATGACAAAAGGAGGGACAAGGAAAACCTCCTTCATTGGATGCAGGGGGGAATACAGTTACCAAAGACAAGGAAAAGGCTGAGGTACTTAACACCCTCTTTGCCTCAGTGTTCAACAATAAGACAGGACAACTGGCCTCTGGAGCTGGCAGATAGGGATGGGGAGCAGAATAGCCCCCCCTGTAATTCGGGAGGAAGCAGTCAGTGACCTGCTGAGCCACTTGGACCCTCACAAGTCTATGGGACCAGATGGGATCCATCCTAGGGTGATAATGGAGCTGGTAGAAGAGCTCGCCAAGCTGCTCTCCATCATTTATCATCAGTTCTGGCTCACTGGGGAGATCCCAGATGATTGGAAGTTGGACAGTGTGATGCCCATCTAAAGGAAGGGCTGGAAGGAGGATAAGTGAAACTACAGGCCTGTCAGCCTGACCTCAGTGCCTGGTTATGGAACAGACCATCTTGGGTGCAATAACACTTCTACAGGACAGATGGGGCATCAGACCCAGTCAGCATGGATTTAGGAGGGGCAGGTCCTGCCTGACCAACCTGATCTCCTTTTATGACCAGGTGACCCACTTGGGGCAGGTGAGGGGAAGGCTGTGGATGTGGTCTCCCTGGACTTCAGCAAAGCCTTTGACACTGTCTCCCACAGCATACTCATGGAAAAGCTGGAAGCCCTGGTATACTCTGTGCTGGGTTAAGAACTGGCTGGAGGGCCGGGCCCAGAGAGTGCTGGTGAAAGGGGCTGCATCCAGCTGGCAGCCGGTCACCAGTGGTGTCCCCTAGGGATCAGTGCTGGGCCCAGTCCTGTTTAACATCTTTATTGATGATCTGGATGAGAGGATTGAGTCCACCATCAGCAAATTTGCAGATGTCACCAAGCTGGGGTGGAGTGTTGATCTGCTGGAAGGTAGGAGGGCTCTGCAGAGGGACCTGGATAGGCTGGATAGATGGGCGAAATCTAGCAATATGAGTTCAACAAGACCAAGTGCCTCACCCTGCACTTTGACCACAACAATCCCATGGAGCATTACAGGCTGGGGACAGAGTGGCTGGAAAGCAGCTGGGCAGAAAAGAATGTGAGGGTCTTGACTGACAGGCAGCTGAACATGAGCCAGCAGTGTGCCCAGGTGGCCAAGAAGGCCAATGGCATCTTGGCCTTATTAGGAAAAGTATGGTTAGTAGCACCAGGGAAGTGATTCTTCCCCTGTATTTGGCACTGGTGATGCTGCACCTCAAGTACTGTGTCCAGTTTTTGGCCTCTCAATTTAGGCTGGATGTTGAGGTGCTGAAGAGTGCCCAAACAAGGGCAACAAGGCTGATGAAGGGTCTGTAGCACAAGCCCTATGAGGAGTGGCTTAGGGAGGTGTTTTTTAGCCTGGAGAGGAGGAGGCTCAGGGGAAACCTCATCACTCTCTACAACTGCCTGAAGGGAGGTTGTAGCCAGGTAGGCATTGCTCTCTTCTCCCAGGCAATCAGCAGTAGGACAAGAGGGGATGGTTTTAAGCTGTGTCAGGGAAGGTTTAGGTTGGATATTAGGAAGAAGTTCTTCACAGAAAGAGCGACTGGGCATTGGAACAGGCTGCTCAGGGAGGTTGTGGAGTTACCATCTCTGGAGGTGTTTAAGAACAGACTGGATGTCACACTCAGTGCCACGGTCTGCTTGACAAGGTGGTGTTCGGTCATGGCTTGCACTCAATGATCTCAGAGGTGTTTTCCAACCCAGTTGATTCAGTGATTCTCTAAGGAGAGGTTCAGACATGCTTTGCATATATAAAGGTTAGCTGCCACAAATAAGAAAATAAACTGTTTTCCATGATAGGGGTGGTTATGGAAAATGTTGTGAAACAAAAGTGATTTATTTTGCAGCACCTTTTTTACTCTACCTCCTCCACAATTCTAAAGTGACTGGAAGATAACTTCTTATGTAAACTGATGACTTTAAAGAATAAGGCTTCTAAATAAAAGCTTTGTTAGTTTCATATGTATCAGTTCCATAAAGAATATTTCAAGACATATTTTATATTTCAGTTAGTAAGACAAAATGTCAAAACAAGTTAGTTTGCAAATACATACAGTATTACAGACTATGAATTAAACTCCCTTTATCCACCATCACAACATTAAACTGCAATTTATGATGACATGAAGTTTAGTACCAGAAAAAACAGTAATTTGTAATTATAAAATCATTTAGCTTTATTTAATAAAATCTTCTGATATTCTTACTATTCAAAGAAATGAAGAAACAAACATTTCCATATTTTCTTTCATGCCAAATGGTTTTAATCTTCACTTGCCTGAAGCAAATTAGGGTAAATGTTAGACATACATGTTGAAAATTATTATGTATTGCAAATCTACCAACATTGTCTTTCTATTTGTTTTAAACGTTAGCACCATCTACTGGTCCAGAAGGTCCTTTCAAACTTTAGAAAAAGCTGTGGAAAGCGATCCAGCTAAAATGATGCAAAACGATACTGACAGTAAGGTGTAGTTTTTCAGTCCCTGTATAGGAAAAGGGAGAAAAAAATATCATATTGTCACAATAGATACCCCTTAAAAAAAACCCCAAAAACGAACTAGGGTTTCATTTTATGACAAAATTAATAAATCTACTATATGAAATGGTAAATTTTATACAATTTTATTTCATAAATTTGTAACATATTTGCTGCTGAAAAGTTTAATACAAGCAATCTATGATCCTACACTTAGTAAAATAGCCACAAAATTGATTCAGCAATTTTGGAAGGTATTTTTAAAGGTCTTTGTCTATTTTTCAGATTATTTTAAGCAGTAAGCACTTATGCAGAGACTATTCAAAAATGTGTGAAAAGAATGGAAGATCTGGAAAGTTACAAAGATGTAGATGATGATCTTCTCATGTGGTGCAACACCAACCTGTAGTGGAAGGCACAGAACAATAACATTACCTTGATTTCCTTAAATACAAGGACTCCCCACATTGCAGCAACCAGGCCAGGCCCCTAAAAAATAGGATTAATTTGTACATTACAGCACTTCATTGAAATTTACCGCCTTCTCATTACTGCTCTCAGGGTGGTTGAATTTTGTTTGGATAACACATTTAGGCCTTTCCATTCAATCTAAGTAAAGCACTCACGACTAAAGCATAAACATCACTGAAATCTTTACTACATAAGTCACAGTAAAATCTTCAAGAAGGACTAAAGAGGTAAGAGACAGTCTTTTTTTTTTTTTTGAATAGGCACAATTTCTTTCTAAATTACACTGTGGAGTCTGCCCTGGCTGTTCCATGTTCCTTCAGTAGGGTCAAATCATATGCCTCACTTTAGTCCAAACTTGAGTTACCTTGTTTCAAAGGACTTTTCAGGTTTATTGGCAACTACCGTGGATATTCCTAACATTTCCTTTATTAGCATGACTAACTATTTGGACAAGGTTTGATTTTATCACTCAGTATGGTATCAAGAGACTGGAACATAGATGTATTTTCTCTATAGCTGGCATCTGGACAACACACAAAGCCAGCCAGAGACAGGTCAGGAAAACTACTGATTACTGGTGATGATGCTGTACAGATTTCCTGGCTAACAGCAAACAATGATACACAACGGCAACTTCCAGGCACTCTTGGTAAGACACTTTTTCCCTTGAGGGAGCAAGGATCTGAATTTTCACGTCTGATAAGAAAATATCTGAATATGAAGCAAAACCTGGCTCTGTTAATGCTTCCCATTAGAGCTGCTCTGAGGAACACTTGACAGATGTTTGGACAAGGACCTTCCTCTCTCCATCTTCAGTGCAGCTGATGGGACACAGATATAGACCAGTAGGCAATGGTGCCTTTTTCTGAATGTATGTGTGGGTGCTGTTTCCTAGTGAAATTTGAAATTTCACTTTCTAGGTAAAGTACACTGCGAGGGGAATGCATTTTTAAAAATGAAACAAATTGTTAAATGGTTGTGATGAATAGCTCTTGAAATTCTCTCTAGGGGGAAGTAAAGCAGCAGTTCTGTGGTCCAAACAGGCAGTTTCTCATCACTGCTGTCCGTATGTTTTTCATTTTGTGATTTTATATGCTTGCCCTTTAGGCATACTGATAACTAAGTTACTAAAGCTGCTTTCCATTAATCCTTCAATTTCTAATTAGAATGATTCCCAAGTCTTTTTTTTTCCATTGCATACTGCAGAGTTTACTTGGATTTACTGCATCTTGAGGCAAAACTTAATCCCTATTAAAGATGTTTCATTAGTTTGATTCCCAAATACTGCTGTTGAGCAAAACTTTGGTTTTGATATTTATTAAATCTCATTTGCCACCTTTGCATCACCAACTAGCACACTGGTAAGAGACTGAAGGCAAAGTTTACTTTTACCTGGTGATAGAATTTATGCTTTAAAGTTACAGTATCATAAATAAGAATAAAACAGGCAGAACAGGCCAAACTATTTTCCTCTCATTTGCATAAGAACATTCTTTTCAGCAGTACATAATCTGTTCTGTTTGTTCAAGAACGGTAAAAAAAACTACCTGACTTAATTAAGTCAAATTACTGCTAGGGGATAAAACTCACAAATTAAAACATTCAGACCAAAATGTACTCTCTGGGATGAAAACATAAAATATTTCTTCCTTTAATCACTTTGGCTAAATAGTTAATGTTGATATAATTCTGGTTCCAGAGACTGGGCTTTTATGTAACCTAAAGACTCACACTCTTAATTGGTCTGCTTTTTCTAATGCTTGGAATTGACCAAGACGGTGCTTGTCATGGTCATTTATGTTCCTAAAAATCCAAAAACTAGCACAGACAAGCAGAGAAGGTAATATATACTCTTGATTAAAAATGTTCTAGATCCATCATAATTTCAACTTAATTTCACAAAGAGAAGGGTAAAAAACCCCATTTACTTTTCATTTTGTTACGTATTATTTTTTTATATACTTACTGCAGTAATTATTGGAAAGCTGACGACAGCACTGAGATAGTGATTGGCTATGAACCAGCAGCAATTGGCTATCGCCCAAAGCACACCAGAAAGAAACCCTAGGAAAATGAATCCTAATCAAAAACATGCATAGCAAGGTATAGACAACAATTTGTGGAGAATTTATACTTATAACATAATACAGAAATTGTAGATATATATTTTAGTATGCTAACTACTTTAACAAGCTGGTTCTGGTAATCTAAACCAAAACTCAAAGGATAAAAATCAGCTACTCTGAAGTAGCAAAGTAATTTAAGTTCACAATTTTCTGGGCACTGTGCTCTCCAATTTGGCAGTCAGTTTTTGAAAATCTGCAATGTTATTTTGTTCTAGTGTCACATTAGAATAAAATTTATCATTGTTAATTAATTAACCTAACAGGAGTACTCTTTCAAAAGAGACAAAAAGTCAGATGGAGTTACTTGAAAGGCAAACTACAATTCCAACACGTAGCTTGGACTACTTACTGCAAAATGGTCAGAATAAGTAACTGAAACGCTTTGCTAATTTAAAAAACAGTCGTACCTGGCAATATGGCTTGGGGATAAACATTAGGTTTATTTTTCCTGACTGCACAGTAGATCAAAAAGTAGATGGTACTTGTAAGAAATATTCCACTGAAGTGTGCAAAAACATAATCTAAATCTGAAAGAGAAATGACAAAATTATGTTAGTATAAAACATCAGTTATTAATTTCAACAAAATTAATTTCACTGATAGCATTTATAGAAACAAAAAAAGCATGAAGTGCTACTCCTAACAGCTCAAATTAAAATCTGAATGTGATGAACTCAGCTGCCAGTCTGACTGTGGATGGATATGGTCAATGACACATATTAAACATGAATTAACTGCTGTGTCGACTCCAGTATTTATTACAGCTTTCTACGCATTTCTGTGAGTTGTTATTTTTGGAACTCTACTACATATGACTTCATTCATTTAATAAAACCTTGGAAAAATCCTCAAGGAAGGCTACGAAACTTGGGTGGGGATTTTACATAATTACGTCCTCTCCTGACCATCTACAATTGAGTTCCTGTATGTAGCCTTGTTTCTTTTCTATACTTTTAAGGGCAAGAAAACCGCACATACTATGTAAGCTAAACATGGCTCAGATTTGTCCTTTTTTAATCTTGAAGGACGTATGAAACTTTTGATTACCACAGTCACTAACAATAATAAATCTTGTATGGACTTTGTATGTGCTAAAAAGAGTATTTCCAACGTGGCAAAGCAGAAGCATGTAACAAGGTCATCCCTGCCTCCTTGGAGCTGTAAATTCTCAACAGGAAAGGCAGCTATAGTAATGACAACATCTGTTTTGCCTAAGTGGAGAATATATAAACTGCAGTATTCAAGAGAAATTGTATGTGACAATGGCAACATTATGCAGTCTCAGCACAGCAATACTTTGCTCTTAAGCTGCTGCTGGTATTACCTGACAGAGTATAATCTAAACCTTAAGGAAGACGTTTTCAGGGAAATGTTGTTTGAAATTGGCAGTTAGGCTTGTGTTAAAAGGTTTCGATTAAAAAAATCTACACCGTTTTAATTATTTACGTTGTTATATTCTGCTCCACTCATCAGTTATTATCAACCTTCTCTTCCTTGACTGGTATACTGATTTGGCAATTGGTAAGCTTGTGCCCTTGTTCACCTCATCCTCCACGCATACAAACTTTGTATTTTGAGAGTGTTTGCACTTAATGCCTTCTGGAACATAGCTATGAGTTAAGTGTGGTAGCCTTTGGGATATTTCTCACTGTTTTTGATGGTGTAATTCACCTCTGAGAAAAAGGGAGTGCTAGGAATATTTCTCACTGTTTTTGATGGTGTAATTCACCTCTGAGAAAAAGGGAGTGCTAGGACTATGATTATGACAACACATAATGTAATGTAGAACCGATAAATTGTCATGGTATATTTTCAGGCATATGAAGAATTCCACCCTATGCCTTTGAAAAAGCAGGCAAACATAATGATGAAATAAAGTAGAAGTGATCTATTAGCCTTTACCAAACTGACTTGCTCCTGCGTATATAGTTTCATTTCTTCTTCCATGGTCCTTGATGTAAAGTACTGGTACAAAACTGGAACCGTACAGTATTCCAGCTACTACAGCCAGGCTACAGCCTCTTTAAAAAGAGCAAAAATTGGAGAAAATAGCCTAGCATAAATTAATGAAGTAGACAACACACTTAAGCACCCAGTATTGCACTTAAACACTGTGCATCATGTGAAAATTGCTAGGTATAAAGACAATACATTTTAGTACATTTTTATTTTCAGTGTAGTGTAGCAACGATTCACTGAGTTTCCCTATACTTTGTGGCCAAGTAACATGGAAAATTCCTGCCCTAAGAGCAAGCAGTCTAGATTAATGACATGGGAAATTAACTAACTACAATTTCCTAAAAGCAAAGCTAGTGAAAACCAAATAAATATATACTTAAAAATGCTCCCATCCTCAGCTGCACTGTTCAGTCTACACATTCTTTATCTCTATTCCCAGATTCATTGCCTCTTAAGTCCCCTTCTTCATTGGAGCACTTCTCCTGTCTCCTTACCATAGTGCCATGCCTTCTCCAGATGTATTTAACCAGAAACCACACCTACAAGCATGTCATTAGAACAGGCTTCTTCTATGCTAGAGTGCTAATGAACCAGGTGACAAAACACAGCTCTGTAATTAGTTGATATTGCTATTTAGTTTGACAGATGATTTTTTTTCATAGTAGCGCCTAATGCTTTGCTTAATTGGTAAGGTTAAGCACAGTCAACAGTGTCAGTGAAGGAAATAATCTAAATATTTGTGCAATTATTCATATATAGATTTGCACACTATACTAGTATATTTAATTATTTATTTACTTATTGTTATTTATTATTGTGCGACTTGGCTAGGAAAACCACAGGACACAAATTCTGCTCTTATGCTGTGTTCAAATACTTTCTCTGGCTATTTGATCTGTACCAGCACAAGAACTGTTAATAACCTACATGAGTCTCTTTTTTGCTGGCGAAAGTCTGTTCACCCATGAGTCATCAGAGGTATCTTCAGAAACATTAATAGACTGCAAAAAACGAAGAGTTTTTCATGCAAGTTTAGTTTAGTTTGATTTCTTAAAATCTATAATCAGATTGTCTTCTATGATTTAGTCTGGTAGAGAGCACTGAGCATAGTTAGAAAACTCTTGGGTTCAGGCAGGCATCAGCTGAGCACTGACCTCTAAGAGTAAGGTACAACAGTAGTAGGAGCCTGTTGTTCCCCAGCTGTTGCCCACTTTGGGCTCCCAAAGGAGCGACAGTGAAATCTGGCACCCCCACTGGCCTCCAACCCGTGCTATAGCTGATGGTGATAGTCAGCAACTCTTGACAGTCTCCTGGCTCTGTAATGTGGCAAAAATCTGACCCTTCAACTGAGCACCCTCATATGGTGCTAACCCTTATGGTTAACATTTAATTGAAATTGCTTCCTCTTCTCATGTAGGAAAGTAATACACTGTATCTTTATATCTCCATCATAATGAATAAGGACTTTCTAAGCTATTTAAAGCTGACAATCAAGAAAGAACACTTGGGAAGAAACTCTTCTCTTGCTAATATTTAACTGGATATACAAGATCCACAAATTAAGATAAAATCAATGATACAAGCAATACATGTTTATGCAGTCTACCATAAATCCTAGCAAACCTAACCAATGAACACATTTTTTGTTTTTAAATGGATCTGTACTTTCACTGCTGTAAAATAACAACTGTAGAGGACTTACACTTTCTCTCAGTAAAGGTGTGCTTTCTAATGAAGCTGAAGAACTCTGGACTTCAGATTTTATAAAAAGAAATATGACAGCACTCAGAAGAGAAAAATACACCAATAAATACCATGTCAGCTCGTAAGGATGCAACATTTAGTGTTCAGAGACAACAGTTATAAGTTGAGGCATTGTTTTCATTATAACCCTAGAGTTACTTCAACATGTTTAAAAAAAGGAATTGTTTTAAACAGTCATAACTTATTATGATTATATACACACATATATAATAAATATATAAATACACATATAAATACAATAATTATAACTTGTTAATTTAACTCACAAACAACCTAAGTGAAAATAAGTAAATAAACCAGGTTTTGTATTACATCATAGATCTCTGTTCTTATGCAATGGGATTGAAATGTCTCCTTTTTACAGTGTGTAGTTAGAACCACATTAACAACAGATGCCTTATTTAACAGTGACCTTTTGTACCAAACCACACGTGCAATGGAACACCTGTTATTCCATAAGGAACAGTTTAAACCTGCAAATTGGCTCTATGATTAAGGAAAAATGTTAGTTTTTAGACTTCTATCATATGTGATGGATTGAATACTGCTGCTACCAGGCCTCACGCATATGTGGAAGGAGAAGAGGTATTGCTCAGTGGGGCTCCAGTGCACTAAGTGAATAAAACGAAACATTACTACTTGTACCCCTGGCTCTAGGAAATCAGGAAAATACATGCAATCATAACTGGTAGGTTCTGTTTTTTTATTTTTATGAAAAACATTTTAATGATTTAGGAATTTCTTCTCCAAACTGTAAACAGAATGTCTACATATAGAGGTTCCACCCAGGAGGCTAAAATGAAATGCCTGGTTCTGAACTCCACAGAGCAACAGACACAGCCTTTGTGCAGTTTGCAGGAAAACATGTCTGGACACAATCTTTTTCCTTGTTGATCTTTCCTCCATGATATATCAGAAACAGACAGGAAGCAGGTGGTGAGTTGTATGAATTTACCAGGAAGGAACAGCAGTACTACTGCTATTTTCTCAGTACCTCCCAAACTCATGTGCCCCATGTAACAGCAACGGGTACAAAGCTGCATACTCTTAGGAGGAAAGTGGAAACAAAAGTCATGAATCTAAGGTAGCAGCTCTCTCCTAGCAATCAAAAATGGTTTCCTCATCTCCACGTTCTTAATAATATTCCTTTCTGAAAGGTATTATGTCCATCTGCTGCTTACTACACTTATGGTGAGCCCTTAGGATTTAGGCCTGCCTTCCTGGCAACCCAGTTGGAAAGCAAGATCATTGCTACTTAAGAAGGATCCTCTTGCCTCCATGTTTGGACCAAAATGTATGCAGTCATGCAAATAATCAACTTAAAAAAAAAAAGAATAAAGCCCTTCTTAAGATCCCAAAGGAAGACACTGTTTGAAAATTTTAAGTGTGGTTTAAGAATTACAAGACAGAGAGTTATTATGGACATGAAAACATGCAAAGCCTCTTGCTTTTCATGGACCCCAAAGTATCAGGGAAAGGGTTCTGTGGTATTTCTGTGGTTTTTACCCTCGAGTCAGTGAAATCAGATCATAAATCTGAGGTTTTCTCAACAAGATTTTTCTAGTCAAATTTGTCGCCTCTCACAGGATTTGCAAAAGTGAACCATTTCAATAACCTAGCTCGGGAGGCAACCAGGAAATTCCTGCTTTGCCTTGAACATGCATACCAGCATAAAAATATATTTCTGTGTTTATGGCTAACCATGCCACCCACTGTACTGGGTATCACATATGTTCCTACTCTGAAATACAATACTGACCAGCTAGGTATGGATACCTCATGATTTTGGCACTAAACTGATTTGTAAAAAAATACTTCAATACATTCACTTTCTAGTTAAATTGTCCGTAGGATTGGTTATTAAATATATATTTTACATTACAGAAATTCATTATAAGAATAAATTGTTACCTTAATAGTGAAAGTCCAGCTCCAATATAATTTAAGATTGGTCTTGATACCTCTTCTGGGTCAATTCCAAACCAACCAAACCTGGAACATTTAACCAGTTTCACTTAATTGCACTGACTTTATATGAATAGTTAAATTATAGCCTAGTCTTTGAAATCTTGAATCATGTAAATAAACCTCTCAGATTAGCCGAGCTGGTTAGAGCATGCTAATGCTAATGATGCCAAGGTTGTAGGTTTGATTCTTTATAAAGGTCATTAACCTAAGAGTTGGACTCAATAATCCTTGTGGGTCCCTTCCAACTCAGAATATTTTGTGACTCTTTATCTTATCTTAGAATTCTGTTTAAGTATATATTTGCAGCATTATATCAGTGTTTCAGTTGGTTTGCAAAACGTTATGTCTACTTAACAAAAATAATCTTTACACTGATTTACTGTATATTGATTTTTTAAATCTGTTAAAATTCACTTAAAATTGAAGCTAACATATTTTATCAGACCATGTTGCAAAAGAAAAAATATAGTGTACTAGTTCTACACTAACAACTACATTATCTATTGACTCAATTAAGTTAATGGACATGATTAGACACTCTTCTTGCTATTGAGACAAAGGAAAAATAAAAAAGGTAAAATAATTAACCTGAGTACTTTCCACTAAGAGGGGATAAGTCTTAGTATAAGTGATAATAAGTCTTAATATATGTGATAAACCCTCTCTAGTGGCAGACTGGGTAGTGTTACGTTAATTGCTGAACTTGATAATCTTAAAGGTCTTTTCCAGCCTATGTGATTCTATGTTTCCACAGGTGGTAGCTTTCACTGCAGTTATTAATGAAGAATGGGCAACATTAATTATGTACAACCTAAGACTTAAGTATACTTACCTTGAACTTGCCCAACCTGTCAGCAAATTAAAAGAAGCCCATATCAAAAGACCAAGAGCTAAGCCAACAGTTTTAACAATAGGAACAACTGTAATATTGCCTGAAATACAAAAAAAAAGAAAACTGAAATCAGTTAAAAATTAGAATGTGGTCTTGTATACATTTGCTTTAGATTTTGTGCCTGTTGGGAAGGCAAAGAAATTTAGGAAACCACAAGGTGGTAAGAAATAGTGTTTTAAAAAATAAATACACTGAACATGGACTTTGCCTCCATATGATTTTAAAAGTTACTTTTGGTGTGAATTTGCCTCTCATAAAATAAGCATCATAAAATAACACTTACTATAATGGTATAGCTCCATTAATATAGAGACTTTAAAAAACCAAGTAACTACTAAATAACTACTACCTTACATGTGGAAAAGTTTTTACCACCTTTTTATGAAGAAAGAGGATTACTTTGTGTTTCAAGATATGGAATGCTTTTTATCCTCACCTGTGGCCCACACAAAGCCTCCAACCATTGCCAGAGGCCAAAACCGGGGGCAATTCTGGATCAAATTGACAACCAAAGAAACCATCCATATGGAGGCACAGAGAATCCACTGGAAGAACATGCCTGTGGAAAAATCATACGCACACAGTAGAAAACCTGTAGAAAGCTGTATGTATGAATCTCTTAATATAGTAAGTTTCCAGTAGCTCAGAAAAAATTCAAAAAGGTGTCCACCTCCTTTCTGAATTTCAGGGAACCATGTTCCAATATATTCAAAAGATATATTTTTAAGGTGGGTTATAATTCTGTCAACTTTTCCTTTTCATGCATCCTTTATACACAGCTGCAAAAGACACTTTGCTGGACAAAGTGTACACAAGCCCTGATTCTCAAACACACAAAAATTTTGACAGATTTGAGGGTATTCTGTTGCTGCAAACTTTTCCCACAACGCTAGGAGCTGGTAACATAGATGACTGCACAGGGAAACAGTCCTTCAAAGCTCAAGCTTTTCCACTAATCCAGGACACTGATGATGGTCAGTAACAGATCCCTTCTTCCTCCGTAGATTCTTGAACGGTCAATGAGGCAGACTGGTTAACTTTATGTCAGCTGTGCTCAGACTTTCACTTTAAAGCCTCGCCTTGTCTTGTTAGGGCCATATTTGGCATGAAGAGGAGAGGTTACATCCAGCCTGCAATGCAGATCCTATGATTGCAATAACATTTATTCATCTAGGGTTCTCATAATTCATTACGTTTAATATAAACATGGAAATATAACATAAACCCATTAGAGTGATGAAATTCCAGGCATGAAACAAGAATGATGGTTTCCTCTTACCAATTCAACAAATAAAGGTATTAAAATTTCATTTTTGCCACTGCGTTTATGTTTGCTCCACAATTGAAAGGCAACTTCTCTGAAGACCAACAACTTTTACCTTATAAATAACATTGTATGTATCTGAGAATCCCCACAAGGGTACAAGAAAGGACATTTCACTTTCCATTGTGAAATGCTCATGAAACGTACAACATCACTGTTAAAGGGCACAACAGCAGGTAAAAAAGCTCTTCTAAAGATTTGTCACATCCTGAAGCAGTACTACTGCTTTATACCCTAACAGCAGCAAAGAAAATTAAACATATTCTACTGGATTAAGACTGTGATGATATTTACAACTCTAGCACTGAAACTCTAATATTTGCTGGTAAAATACTATTCGTATTAGCAAAATCAGAAAACCAAACAAAATAATATAAGAAAGCTTACCATCACCAGTATCAAACTTCTTAACAGGTACAAAGTTTGTCCCAAACAGAAGGACAGCTACTGTAGAAGAAGTAAAGCCAATAGCTAGATCTGTTCCATTGCTGGTGTTCGCAGCACCGTAATCTTTCCCAATAATCATCTTTGTTCTGTAGGTGCCTCTTTTTGTGGAGTTGTTTTGCTGCAGGTCCTGACAGATTCTGAAATAAAAGAGTGGAATTAAATAAAATAAAATTAAATAATACCACTGTAGTTCAGAAATCTGAAACTTAAAGGACCTTACTTACCAATCTCTCAAAAGCTGGAATGAACTGCAAAGTAGAATCTCATGAGGTGAGAAGCTGTCATAAAATATGAATAAAGTGATTTAAGAACAGATGCACAAAAAAAAATAAATCACTATTGTTTCATAATCAGCTTCACAGAAAAACAAGTCTGAACACATAACAAGCGAATGCAGAGGTGCACTCATAGGTTATGAGGACTTGAATCCATGGGAAGCCCTGATGCTTTAGTGAGATGTTCTATCAGACTATTCCTTATTCCTGTAGCCAAAGGGGAGGCCGTACTGGGATGCATAAAAAAGCCGGAGTTAGACAAAATCTTAACTGGCAGAAGAGGTGACAGCAATCTGCACACCCGCCAGCTAGAAGTCAGGAACAGTTACAGAGATTCCATAGATGTCACAGTGGGATCAACACAAGATCATAAGGCAACCGCAGGGATTGCTCTAGCTGACAAAACCATGAAAGGTTCTTTTTTTTCCTGTTGGGAACAAAGGGAGAAGCTGACTCTAAAGTTTCTTCATTCATTCCACGTAACCATAACGAGAAAGGCAAAGATATTTTTAATCCCATAATACCTCCCTCTTTTTTTTTTAAGTGGGAGATTCATCTTGATTGGGTTGTTGAGTGGTACACTCAACAGATGTGCCACATACACACTTTTGATATGATTATTATATGGATTATAACTCTGACAGAAAAGGTGTCTCTGAGGACAAACATAATTATGTGAACTTTGTAAACATAATCTTAACACCACACTTGAAAGATTACATGTAGGAAAAGTGTTTGGAAATTTAACTTCAAATGGTAACAGGATACTTAATATACTGCTATAGCAATATTCATCCAATACTCTTGTCGAAGTAATGCTATTTATACTGAATCAAACGACATCCCAGCGCAGTTTGCCATTCCCCAGTGTACGTGGACTAGCCTGGAGAAAAAAAAGCTGAAATAGGATGGTGGAAATTTTGCCAAGTCTTGTAAGAGATGCTGTGACTACACTCTCTGCACAAAAGAAGAGCTGAGCTGCTGAACATTCTTTCATCTTATTTTACCCTCCAGCCTTACCTTCTCCACAGTCCTTAGGACACCAAGAACTGTATCTGCTGAGGTTATGCTTTTCTCTGCCGCTTCAACAGGGCCATCAGTGCTTGCTGAAATTAATTATTTGTATTAGCAGACGAAAAGCTCAATTCCACAACTATATAACCATTTAATTTCTGTAATTTCGCCCCTCAAAAGGTATCAGTATAGCTCTAACTTAAGAAAAACATAGATGACACTTAAGAGACACATCATGAAGGTACAATGGCACAGCTGTTTCAATTTATATTAAATTTTTCTCCCTCCTCATCTTTCTTTCCTGCTTAGCAGATAAGCTTCTCCAGGAACTGTATTTAAGACTTCTACAAAGTGTGTTTTACCCAGGACCTGTAGACACTGAGCAGTGCAAATAATAATTTTTGAGATTTCTTCAAAAACTCAACTTCACAGGATACACTGTGACATGTCAAGAAGAAATCGATATAGATAAAGGCTGGCATCAGCTACCTTCATTCCAGCAACCTCAACTCACTGAGTGAATACATTTATTCATTTATGCAGTGGACAACTACGACACAAGAGCTGGGTTTTGCACATAAAGAACACCATGCTGTTAAGGACACAGAAATAAAGCTGATTACACTGCACCTCTGTGAATGCAAGAATCACACCTTTTGCCTTTAAATAAATGAGTCATTACGCAGGTAAGATACTAAGAACCTTTCAAATTTGAAGTAGTTTATCTGTCTTTCTGATTTTGTACAGAAAATTGTTAAAAATATTTTAGTTTTGTGTCTACTAAAAGAAAATATGTGTGCTGCAGGGCAATACACTTTTCTGCTTGCTTCCTATGTTCAAAAAAAAATCTCTGTATTGTGCAGATTGAAGACTGTTGCACAGTTGGAGAATCAGAATCGTAATACCAAAAATAGAAAGACAACTCCACTTAACTAAGGAAGAGTATGCTTCATTCAGACTGCTTAAAACTCTGTTACTTTTCAAAGTTTGGGACACTTCGTTCCAAATTCGGCTAAATTTCAGACCCAACTCTCAACTCCATTTTAAATCTTTCAAGAGAAAGCTCCATGAGACAAGGCCTGGAGCAACTTTCTCTAACTTCAGTGGCAGCACTGCTTGAAGCAGGAGTTGAACCAGGTGATCAACAGAGGTTCCTTCCAAGCTAAATAATTCTACTATTGTATGATCCAATGCTAGGAGCAAAGAAGTAACTGGCATACAGCATGAAGTTGACTATACTTTTTGCACATACAGAACTTCAGAGAGTTCCCTAAAAGCCTCTTCTCTTCAATCCTGTTATTGCCAGATGGACTTGCTTATATGCCTCCATTATAGATACCAAATGCCAGACCAGAATCACTTGCTGAAGCTGCCATATTAGAGCATTGTGATTGTTTCTGAAAATCAAGCAGAGACAACTGGAATTGTTCCTGTTCTTGAAGGCTTTTTTGCCCCCTAAGCAGCTCTTACTGAAGGTCACTTCAGGGCTCCCAAGCTGCAGAAGAAATACAATGGACTTTTGTTGGCACATATTCCTCTTATCCTTCTAACTTCACTGGTTCACCTCACTGGAATGCTGTGCTCTGTATTTTCACTGTTTCCTCAGAAATTTGCCACCACTTTCTTCCTTCACAGAGACACAACAAATTATGATGCTCACTTAATGCAACAGCAACACATTGCTCCAGTTTCCACAGATAGGCATGAAATCAAGAAGCCAGCCTTTGGGAGCTTTCACCCCTAAGGAGACCCGAGCTGCTGTTAAGATCCCAAATAAACTGTATGCGCTAAAGGAATGGGTAGAGATCCCCAGGTGACACCGCAACTCATGACTAGAAGTTGCTCAGGAAGTGCGTGTTCACTTCCCCAAGACGACGAACGCTTTTAAAGAGACGTTCTCCGGGCAGTGTTTTCAGCGAGCGCTCTCAGGGAACTCGGAAGTCGCTCGGATGGGCGCTCCGCACGAGTGTGGCTGCACTGACGCCGCCGCGCCGGGGTAGCGGCGGCCCGGCCCTGGGCCCGGCTCTCTCCGCCGGACACGGCACCCCGCAGGGACACTCGTGGCCCGGCTCCAGCCGGACGCCGTTCCGTCCGTCCCCCAGCGCCCCGCGCCCGGCTCACCGCCGCGGCCGGTTTTACGGCTCTGCGCTGCGGGACGGAAGGCGGCCGCGGACGAGCCCGCACCGGCGGATCCCCGCCCGGGCACTCCGTGCGGCCCCGGCTCCCGCCGCCCGCGCCCCTCCGCGCCCGCCCCCGCCACGCTACCGCCGGGGCTGCGCACAGGCCTCGCCACCGATCCCCGTGACTGCCGCCCGCGCCGGCACCGCCCCGCGCCTCGGCCCGCCCCCGCCCGCCTCCATCCGCCCCCATCCGTGCCCAGCCCTCAGCCGCCCCTTCGGCCGGGAGCGCCGGGAGGAGAGCGACGGGTGACTCTCGCCCGCCTTTCCCGTGCTGCCATGGTAGAGGGGATTTGCTGGGGCGTCGACTTCCCGTCTAGCGGGGGACAAACACCAAGAGAAACCTTAAATAAAGGCACCGACGTTGTGACAAAATCGCCCTTGCCCCTCCCGGCCGTAAGCGGCAGCCGATGAGACAGTTCCCTCCGTGAAAGTGCACCCGTGTACTTCACAGGCCGATGCTGTGCTGTAACTTAACACGAAAGAATCACAAAATCAATCAGGTTGGAAAAGACCTCTGAGGTCGTCGAGTCCAACCCATGACAACACCACTGTGTCAACTAGACCGTGGCACTGAGTGCCACATCCAGTCTTTTCTTAACTTCAGGGACAACGACTCCACCACCTCCCTGGGCAGTCCATTCCAATGTCTAATCATCTTTCTGAGAAGAAATTCTTTCTAATGTCCAACTTAAACCTCCTCTGTTGCAGCTTAAGGCTATGCCCTCTCATCTTGTCACTAGTTGACTCGGAGAAGAGACTGACTCCCACCTGGCTACAACCTCCTTTCAGGTGGTTGTAAGGAGTGATAAGGTCACCCCTGAGCCTCTTCCACTCCAGGCTAAACAACCCCAGCTCCTCCTTCAGCTGCTGCACTTAAGACCTGTGCTCCAGAAAAGGAGCCCAAGTTTTAGCAGCACTTGCCCAGCAACACAGCTGTGGTTCAAAGATGGCACTGTTCCCACAGGGGATAGCATGGTCTCATTAAAGCTCCTCTCTTGCTCCCGAGACCTCCCTGACTGCTGAGGGGTTTCCACGGGGCTGGGGGGTCACAGGCACCTGCTGAGAGGGGCAGGCATGTCAGGGAAGGCAGGCACATTTCCAGGCCATGCAGCAGTCTCTGGCCCTGTGGTGCACAGCAAGTCAAGGAAAGCCCCCAGGCTGGTCAGAGCATCCAGGGTTTTTTTTCTTGAGCACAGAAATTACCACCAGTTGCTCTGGAAGCCCTGTGTTGTTTGGCAACCAAAATCAAGTAGGGAAAAAACCTTTAATATGCTGTCAAGAAGAGATTCTTGCAGATTTCCCTGTAAGGATTTGATCCAAACTAGCTAGAGCATAGACTATTAGTCAGCATGTTTAGTCACGAAGCAAACATTTCTCTCTGTGCTGTTGAAGTACAGTTACCAGATGGCAGCCCAAATTATCTCCTTACAAACACAGCACGAGCCTTCTAAAGTAATGCTTCATATTTTGCAAATCAAATCTGCATTTTCCAAAATAAGAATTTATGTTTTTTCTTTAGAGAATAAGCTCTCATTCCCTTGGATTCAGTAAAGCTAGGAATGCACAATTTATCAATCACTTTAACATAAATGTCTGTACATATGTCATTTAGAGATGAACTGCAGAACGTCTCTATGGAAACAGTTTAGCTATAGTGCATCCAAGAGGAACAAATGTAGCCCAGAAAAAGAAAGAATTCTAGAGGCAGTGCAAGTATATGTGTTGCATTATTTTATTTAGAAGATAAGTATTAAGGACAATATTAATCTTTTATATTGAATTGCCTGCACGTAGAAAGAAAAAGCACATTAAGGAGCCTAGCCTGTAACTACATCCTTTCAGTATCCAGGAATAAAGACAAGTCAAGATGCAGGAGCTTGTGCTTGGTGATCATTGATAAAATCCACCTCTCTCCTGCAGATTGGCCATGGACTGTCAGCTAGGAAGACTGGCAGCAGTGCAGGCCACCAGCTATTTCAGAGTCTGCAGCTTGTCCAGCATGATGAGCAGCACCCTGGGTCACAGTTCTTCCCATCAAAACAGGTTGATCTGGTTTCCTCTACAAATGCAGGTATAGGTGGAGATGAATTTCCGAGGTTAAACCAAAACCAAAACAAAAAATAAAACAAAAAAAAGGGGGAGGGGGAGAAAATATTTGCAAATATTCAGTTCATTTACTCATTTACATTTGCAAACTATACCTAGGACTGTGAAGGACTAGGAAAAACTTCTTAAATTCCCCTCTTCCATCTATTGCTATTTTCCTATATTAGTTCTTTATATTCCTGTGTTCCTGACCTTAGGAAGGGACAACACTGACCATAAAATATGGGTATATGAAGAAATTACATAAAAAGCTGAGTTTATTGGATGCAGATGACAGTATCTTATACAGTTTAAAGCAAGGAACAAGTACAGAATCTAATGGACATTACTAGCTAAATATAGGTAGGCAAAGTGAAATAACATGGGCTGGAATTTGGTCAGACAATAACCTTGTTCACTCTATTCTTTCTGAAAATTTGTTTTGCATATTTTATGACTGCAGAGGAAGTACTGTTTTAGCTCAGTAGGGCCCTTTACTTCCTTATTCCAGCTTTGGTCTAGAGTAATTCCAGAAATAATATGACTCACCTGAATGATGAACATTTTTTTTTGTTTCTCCTGAAACATGAAGAAATGTTTGTTTTCCTAACAACTCCATAGTCATTCTAGCTTTAATTATTTCGTGATATCTAGTAGGGTACTGGTGCTGTACACCACAAAACCCCTCCACCTTTTAAATGTCCAAAATTAGAGCAAATATCTGCTAAATTAGCAAGATCCTCTATTCTATTTCATTAAATTTCTACCACCATCCATTCCAAAGAATGTACTGGTGCATGAGTTTTCTCTATCTGAACAGGAGAAATAAAGGAAATACTATCATCACATTTACAAATCCTCAATAAATCCCTCACAGCCAACACTGTACATCAGTGCTTACACCATGTTATGATTTCAAGGTTGCAAATGAAGTGAGGAAGGAAGAACAATTCTCCGTATCTGTTTATAATTTTGTCCCAGATAATCTTTAAAGAATTGTGGTAGGAAGATTCTGCAGATTCCAAAATTTCAATTTAGGAGAACTGTTATAGCATAGGAAAGCTGTTAGTAACTGGAATGTACTGTGTTTTGGCGTTGCTTGGTTGTAATGAACAGGCCACGATGCTGAGTACGTGCAAGAACTGGGCATTTGGAAACAACTGTTGCAGTGTGATGCATTTTGAACTTAAGCAACTTGTCTGGAGCTTTTTGAATTAATCTTCTTTGCTCAGGATATATCCTGTCAGTCAGGTTTGAACTGAAAAATAAAAAAAGGTAGAAGAACTGAAGTGGATGGACAGATTTCTTACAACCCCAATTCCTCCAAAAACTCAGATTTAGGAAAAGCAGATGATATGAAGGCTCTTTTACTGATAATGGCATGGTTGCTGAAATTTTAACTTGATAGTACATATTTAGACAAAAATGTAAAGAAAAGCGATGGCTTGTGAAAAAATCCACTTACAAAGTTTTATAAATTCAGATTGGACCAATATGAAACATAAACTAAGTCCTTAATTGTCTGTTCCTCTTTAAGGAGAAGAGAATATCTCCATTAGCTTGAATTACAGTGAACATATACATTTTATTATTTTGTACTTCGACTAGGCAAGGAGACAGAAGTCAGAGCTTTGCCAGTGTCTCACTGTTTAAGGGTGCACAGGCTCTTAACTTCTGTCTGCCTCAATTTTCCCAGCTGTGTAGTGATTATGCTATGCCACACTTTGGAAAGCACAGATAGGGAACACTGCTGAGATGTTTAGTAGCATATTAATAGAATTTTGAAAGTCCCTATCTGCTTTTAATTTCTCATCACAAGACTATATGATTCCCAAAAGTTCTAAAATTCAGGGGATAGGGGCTATTTTAAATTAAAAAACTCAGTAAACAAACCTAAACGTGGAAGAGAAAATTTCTTCAGTACATTTGCATGCAGTGCACTAGAGGGCCCTCAGGAGTTAGAAATGGATGGAATGCACTTTTGGAAGGCATATACTTCACAGGACTTTTCATTGCAGAATTTAAAATAGAAGTTGCTGTGGGGTTTTGTGTGGGTGGGTTTGTTTTTTTTTTTTAATAACGTGAGGTTCATGTAAGTTTATAGCAGTTCATATGCAAACCACCTCTCAGTAAAGTTAGCTTCCAAATGGTACTTAGCCTACAATGAAATACCTAAATGTGAATCATATTTAAAACTGAAATATGTGCTAGACGCCAGCTCAGTTACTTTTATTGACCTGAGGAGTTTACCAGAACAAAGGATGTGTCAAGCTGAATAGGTAAGAAATTTTATTTTTATAGCTATATATATACAATGTGCACTTATTCTATCTTTGTTTCTTTGGAAAGAGGTATAAGCCACTGTAATTTCATTTTAAAACTGCAGCTAGATAGTTTTTATAGCTTCACAAGTGTGAAGAGAATTAACCATCTTTCATTTTTGATGTGTGTTTATGAATTATGTGAACTATATTCGTGTCAACTAGGGAAATTTGGCAATGATAATATATTTTTGTATTAATGAATATGTGCATATTTAACTACTACAGCTACTGGTGGTTAATATTTGGATAATTTACAGCATTTCCATAACCTGAGGTTTAGTGAAAACTTTGTCTCATAAGAAAAAGATAATGATCTGGGTTTGACAAGCTCTTCTTCTAATGCTGTAATACAGCCAGCTGAGATTGCAAATTGAGCCTGTATTTATTGATTTTGGTGTTTAATTTATACTGTAATGAGAAAGTGAAAGATGTATCTTGACAAATTTCTACATACATACTGTCTCATCTGGAACTCTTTTTCTTGGAAAATATAGAACCACAGATGCCGTATGTGAGTAATGAAATGAAATGTTACTGTTTTCTTTTTGCAGTTTGTAAGGGAAATACATCTGATCTTTTGGACTACAAGTCAGTAAACTTTGCTTACGCAGCTGGCTCCATTCATTCCCTGAAACCAATCACTTTCCCTGTGGTGGCTGATAAGAATTTAACAGCTTGAGAAGGTGGAGTGTCAGCATCCTTAGTGCTAATCACTTTCCCAGGCATATCAGTAGCCTCTGTCCATCACCCATGCTGAAAGCTGCTTGGAAAACAAGAAATAGAAATTGGGGAAGGGAAATCATGCATCATCATCCTGGATGTAATATACAGAAGACTTTATGCTGTTTTCATCATGTGGATTCACTAGAGAAATGACCACCTTTGATCGGCCAAGTAAAATCAAAAACTTATTTATTTGCTGCTTGTGCCCCTCGCGGGTGTTGAGACTCTGGACTTGCAGGCGCCCAAGGACAAGGAGGAATCTGCTCGTGGGCACCGCCTGTGTGATCTACCTGGGATTCCTTGTCAGTCAGGTTGGGAATGTTTTACCCCAGCACAAAGGAGGACATCAGAAGATCAGTTCCAGAAGTCTCCAAGATGCAGCCCAAACTCCTTTTCTGGGCATCCCACTGGATGGCACCCTGTCACCACCCAATTTCCAGGAACCCCAGCTGGGCAGCAATGGGACCTTGCTGCCACCCAATGTAGTTTATATCACCCTGCGGTCCAAGCGCAGCAAGCCTGCCAATATCAGAGGCACAGTGAAGCCAAAGCGCAGGAAGAAAAATGCAACACCTTTGTCCTATGGGCAACATTTTCCAAAAGCCACTTTTACGGGCCTGGAAGAGGCCTTTGCCCAACAGCCAGGGAGGGCTGTGCATGCCACAGGCACAGTGGGAGCAGCAGTAGCTCTGGAAGCGAGAAAGTACCAGCTGGATGAACACAGACATAAAGGAATGGCAGTCGGGGAGAGGGGTCACCGGAGACCTGGGATGATTTCTGGAGCTGTGAAGGTGCAGCCCCAGCCTGAGGAAAGCAATATCAGGATTTACAGTGAGAGCTCTCCCTCGTGGATGAGCAAAAATGACATCCTAAGCATGCGAATGCTGGCAGATTCTCCGATAGAGAGCATCCAAGAAGTACCTGCACACAGTGCAGTCCTGGTAGTGTTTGCAGGAGGTCCCGGCACCACAGGAACTGCTTGTGATCAAGGACGCTGTGGGATTGTCAAAAGACCCGTCGACATGAGCGAGGTGTTTGCCTTTCATTTGGATAGGATCTTGGGGCTAAACAGGAGCTTACCTTCTGTAAGCAGGAGATCAGAGTTCTTCCAAGGTAACACATTCCTATAGTTTTCAGCTTGCAGGTGGGATGCAGAGGTTTTCTTTCCCCTCCTGCATTAGCTGTGGGGCAGCAGCCAGCCACCACCTTTAACTCCTGCGAGCCCGAGAGCTAAACCTATTTTTACAGGGAAATAAAGCTAGTATAACTTCTAGCAGTGCAGTTATCCTGTCTAAAGGATGCAGTACCCCAAAGTTTAGGTCAAATACCATTGAGTTGCTGAGGGCAGTAACAGTTTCTCTTACACGAGAATCTGGAATGAGAAAAAAGAGAGAGTGTAATCTGTAGGTTGCATGACATTGTAGAGACTGCCTGAAATGAAATTGGTGAAAGAGGTTCCAGAATACTCCATTATTCAATGGGTATTTCCAATGTTTTTTTTAAAAAAAGTTTTCTCATCTTTTAGAATTGATTTAAATAAAATACTGTTGAAACCGGGCACAAAAATTCGTCTGTCAGGTTGTAGGAAAGGGGGTTTGTATTTAGGCAGATAATCTACTCAGAAAGGTAGGGAACTTTCCTGCAGAAACTTGAATCTACTTCCATGGTACTAATCCCCTTGGGAACTGAAAATTTTTAAAAAAGTTCTTCCCCCTCCTCTGGTAGTTAAAAACCAAACAAACTACGTCAGTGAATCTCACTGTACATTCTGAGGTTAACTACACACATTTATATATTATCCAAAGAAACCTATACAGTAAATATCTCAATATGGCTGTTAAATGATTGGCATAGAGTTTTCAATTAAAATTTTGATTTTTAACCTTTAGTGAAGTTAAAGGTAAGTTTCAGACATGTAATGTCAGTTAGAAGTCTACTTTTAACATTGCTACCTTCTTAAATATGTCTTCAGCATAACTGCTATTTTTGTACAGTCACAAATCACAATCCAAAAGGACTATGTTGCATTTTAATGAATCATTGCAAAAGTAGCTAGCTATGTTTTTGCTGTTCATTTCTTGCTGCTGAAATTAGCTCGTACAAACTACTTTTATATCAGTCTGCATTTTTTAAAAAAGTAATGCAAGAATGACTTTGTAAAGTCTGTCAGCAGGAAGACAACCCAGTGATGTCCAGTTTCTTCCTGCTTTGTAAAAGTTCCCTTTGGCAGGCTGTACAACAATGTGAATGAATCTCTAGGAACAACAGTTAAGAGGCTTCTGAATATTATTCATAGTTGTAGAGCATGGAAGATACATTATGCCTATTTTATTTTTAGGAACACCGTCTATTGCTCTAGAGCTGTCCTAAGGCATTAAGGTAGTTCGGTTGGAGGAACTCTGCATAGTGTGGCTGTGGAGATGACAGACTGCAAAGCTTGGAAAACTGCTATTAGGCTAATTGCAAATTGTGTTGCTCAGTGTCTGTCACCTTACGGTATGTTTTGGAATGTCTGTGACAGACTGTGTCGTTCTGCCCTCTTTAATTTTCTCTTCCTCATAACTGGCAATGTTCCTATTGCAAGAGGAGTGTTGCTAGGTGATGAGAAGAGAAATAACATTATTTTGGTCTCACTTCATGTTTTCCAGCTAAAAGCTGAACAGGATTTGGAACAGTGATTGTACCTTGTGTCTCACCATTTCTTTAACCTGGAAATATGCTGGAGCTCATATGCCTAATAACGACTTGAGCTCTTGACTAATGATGTGCTTGTGTTGGGCATAATCCGAGAACATCTATGTTGAGCAAATGAGCAAAAATGTATTCTTAAAAATAATATGAACAATTAGCTCACTTCTATGACCCATATGTGTTTCAGTTAAGATTAGGTGGGCATTTTTAAAGTTTTTTACAGGGTGGCTTGTGTAAAATAGTTATTCACATGGGAAAGCAAGTAATGCAGGATTAAAGACTCTGCATGTGTGTATAAATGTATGCTATTTCTGGGCTGATATATCTCTCTCCCCGACACATCCCTTTTGCTTGCCTCAGTTGTGATGTGATCTAACAAGACATGTTTGATGTAGCATTAAAATCTTAAAAAATGGGCTTTTCAAAACTGTCATTCATTTTGTCAAAAGCAGTTTCAAAGAACTGCTTAGTAAATCCCTGTACAGGTTCTGTCTCCCATATTCCCATAAATCTGCCACTGATTTTTTTTCTAAAGTCTAGTAAAATACTGTACTCAAGTCCCCTGTCTGCTACCCTCACCTACCATACTTGATTGTCAAAGCTTTTAAGTGTTAACTGAATGTTTTTATGGTTTGTCTGTCATGGATGGAAAAATCAGGTATGATAACTCTTTCATATTTTTGCAGTGCGTTTACTGAATATAAAAAGCCTGAGGAGTACAGATAGGAAAAGCCCTTTTGAGTTTAGCATAACAGTCTAAAAGAGCATGATTTTGGGCATATGCAAGCGGTCATTCTTTCCTCCCATTGCTACCTACAAGTTGTGAAAAATGTCAAGAGCTCCAAAACATCTATAAACAAAGAAGGACAAGCTTGTAAAACAAAAAAAAATAATCATAAAATTGTGTCTATTGGAGACAGGGGAGGCTGAACCTTATGTATCTTGAGTTTTGGGATGGTCACATTATTACCACAGTAATGAAAATCTTCATTATTTCATAAACCTAATCTGAGGAACAGAGGAGACATAAGGGGCCTTGCTTGGTGTCACAGCCCTACCTTAATAACCTTTGCCCAGAAGCTAAGTCAAATGACTACATGTGTTGCCTCTAGCTCAGCAATCGAATTTTCAGGGTAGGACGATGGCAGTGTTTGTTAGGGCTTCAGCTACAACAGGACTATCATGAGCTGGAGCAGGCTTGCTTTTCTGTTGCAGCTGACAGCTGTAAGGATAGCACTCTGGTTCCTTGGATCATAGCAACAAGGCTGAGCTCTTTATTCAGCTTTTGGTACAATATATATAATTATCGCTATGCAGTTTTGTTGCACCACCTGCTGAGGGACTGAACTACTGCATGCTGCCGTCTACATCTCTAACCCTCTGTTCTTCTGATATCCTAAGTTTGGTTAAATATGTTTTATACTGTATTGAAAAGAACAGAAACAGATGTACTCAATTCAGCTAATTTTTTTTTTTAGCTCAAGGTTGAACCCACTATTTGTCCAGAACCTATTTTTTTGTCACCCCCAAACATGCAAGAAATTCTTCCTTTGAGTAACACCTGTCATGTTTACATGGTTTAGTGCAAATAGCTGAATGATGTGATAGATAGTTCCCCTGGTTGCACTTGTCATTTTGCTTTACTGGCCTCTACATGATGATAAATGGAGCCATAAGCTTTTCCTTGTTATAGCCTGTGTTATCAGACTGTCCTTGCCATCCCATCAAAAGTTATGCAAAAGCAGGCAAAGGTATTATGAATCACTAATGTTAGGGCAAAGAATAAAACCCCAACCCAGCATTGCTTTATGCATGCAGGTTGCTGTAAAATATTTCCTTATAGTGCTGTACCCCTCAGAGGGGTAAGAGAATATTTCCAATATTCTGTTGGGTAGAGAAGTTCGTGAATAAGCGACAATGCAGTCCATAGTCTAGAGAGCAACAAACGCACATTTCATGCATTCCTTAATAGTGACATCTATATGAGCACAGGACAAAAACATTGGAACGAGGTGCACAGGGAATAAAGAAAAATAAATGGCCTAAATTCTGTCTGCTCTCTACTTTGGTCCCCCTCAGAATTTAAACTTTAAAAATCAAGTAATGATCTGTATGTCAGTCCCTGTCATTGTCTACATTAAATTACCCTCTCCTTCAGATCTGTGGGCAACTAAACTTCTCCTTGCAAATGTGGCAGTGGTAAGCTGTACTGCCTTACAGTGAACAGTGATGAGTTTGAGAAAGGGCTTTAGCTACCTCATGAATGGTTTTCTGGTTTTAGTGTTGCTGTTCTGGGCATGTTTGAAAATATTTTCTTTTAAGAAAGTTCGAAAAAATGCTGTAGCTGCAAATTAGAGAACAAGATGAGAGTAACATTTGCAAGAGCAAAATGTGGTTCTTAAGAAGAATGCAGACTATTTTTGAAGTGATGTGGGATGTGGATATCTAAGACGATGCCTATGTTGAAGAAGACATACAGTGATACATTGCTTAGCTGCACAGGAAGCAGTTTGAGTACCATGAGGTAGTCTAGTCTCAGCAGCCTGAGGTTTCATCTGTGTTACCTTATTCAACTTAGCTAAGACATTTTAGAAATATTTTGATATTCAAAGTTGCGTATGAATTACTAGGAATCTGGTTTCAATATGAGTTCTGAAAAATCTTCCCTATAGAATTTTTGCAGGTTGCCTTTGAATGGTTACGTAGATATATAGATCAAAAGTGGCAGATGAAGGTAAAATGAAGCCAGTGACCTTTGGGGGAGATTCAGTGCAATGCAGCTGCAGCAAAAGAAAAGCAGCAGCCCTTGGTGTTAATATATAAAGCTGACTAGGAAAGAAGCACATACAGAATACACTGGACTTATTCTGAAGTGTACTCAACCTTCCCAGTTTTGGCAGTCGGTCTCTTCACTGTTCACGTAACTTTTGCCCCATCCTCATGCGGTTTGAATCAGAAGAGCTCCACTGATTTCACTGTGGTCATGCCAATTCATGCAGCTATGAATCAGACCCCTTATCCACTTTAATTCAGCATCTTAATGTTTTTCCTGCAACTGTCAAAAACCTGAGTCACAGCTCTTTACTGAAGCTTCTGTTTCATATTCCTGTAATTCAGTTTATATCAGAGAGTTGAAAGATTTTATTTTGGCTCATCTTTTCTGCTCCCATTTCCTCTGAAATGCAAACATTTCCTGCATTTAACCTTAGTCTTTAAAAAATGTTTTTGTATCCTAATGGAAACTGACAAGATATTATTAATGATTTTCAAGTATTTATATTACTATTGTTTATCATGTCCTTTTTGGGTAGACAGGAGATGTTTGTTTTGTTAGAAGACTGTTTATGTATTTGGTTTCTGGAAAAATTCATGAATAGTTACATAAGATATAATGTTACTGGAGATATAAAAATAATAGATCAAACTTGGTCCTGAAAAAAGCAATCCTTTTATTGTGACAATTTCCAATGCTTATATAGACTTTCTCCAACTGTCTGGGAAAAGAAACCTGGCCAATAGTTGACCTAACTTGGCTAAAGTCATCTGCAATGTAGGTGATGGAGCCAGAGTAAGACAGATGGAGAAATGGGTAGGATTTCCCAAATAAGATTCCTAAATACTTATTCAGGAACCTCAGTGGAGGAGAAGCCTGATTTTCAGGAGTGCTCAACACTTGTTTTCAGTGGAGGAAAGAGTGTGAAGCATGGTGCTGATAAAGGTAATACTGTTAATGAAAAAGAGGTTGATGTTTCTAATGGAAGAACATGCTCTGTGTTTCTAAGAAAACATTGAACAACTGGGAGGGAAGTTAAAGAGGTGGTGAAACTGCATGTTGGTTTGGGTTGGCTTGTCTTGGGAAGGACTACCCTGTATGTGCAAGCCATGGCATAGAGAAGATCAACTACATTTTGGTTTTGGAAAGAAATTAGTTTTTCCTCTTGGGCTTGATTGCATGCAGGGCCTGTTGTGCTTTTTTGGTGAACACAAGATGGAACTTTACATGTTTCAGTACTAGATATGGGCAAAGATAGTTTCTCACTTGTTTTAGACCAGCTAGGGGGCTGTGAAAAACTATCTCTATACAGCTGAATCAAAAAACAACTTGTTTAAAGAATTCTGACGGGTGGAGCATTCACATCAGCAGCTTTTACCTTGCTGTTGGCTTTGATACCTGCTTTCCATGTACTATTCTCTGTCTGGTTTGCTTCTAGAGAAGGTGCCCTGGACCTTTTTCCTCCATGTGAGTTTCTGAAAGCTTTTTTTCAGATCTGTCTCTGTCTCCATGGGCATGTGGTAGACAAAGAGACAGCTTAGGCTGGCTTTAACTATGCAATAAATTGTGCAATACTGTAGGCTTTATGTTCATTGACCTTCAAGATGAATATGAATAATGTTTAAAGCTTTACATGTGTTTGAACACTTGTTATTTAGTAAACAGCAGCTTTGCAGATAAATGGTTCTTCCTCTCTGTACGAAGACATATTTTGGTCTTTTGTCTACACACCCAAAAATGTAAAGAATTTCTTTGTTTTGATGTGTACAAGCCGCAGTCAGTCGTGGGTCCTTGATGGTTTAAGGCAGCAGTAGCATTGCATCATCAATAAAAGGGGAGTTCCACTTTCCCAAGAAGATAGATATGTCTGTTACTTGATATTTCATGAAATATATTTGCCAGTTCTTATACTGAGAAAGCTCATTTTAAATTCTTTGATGAGGTTTCTTCTCACTGAGAATTCTGAACACCTGAATTCACCAAAGAAAAGTCCCTTGTCTCTGTTTCAAGGAAGAGCAGAATATTCTTTACGCAGAGGAATTAAAGAATTTGGCTGAAATATCTGCTATACAAAACAGATCTCGTCTCTGGGTAAAAAATTCAAACTTATCAAGGTGTTTACTCATGCTAAACTCACACTCTCTAGTATTCTCTTATATCTTTTCAGAGCTCTGAAGTCATAAACTATAGGTCTAAAATACTAAAGATAATAAAATAAATGCACTTTGAGAATAGTATTTGTGGTGTTTCTATATCCATTATACTGAAAGAAACCCCGTTGACGTAAGTTTTCAGCTCTAGTAAATTAGCAGTTCAGTGGAATCAGAGGGAAATGACATTGTTGATTCACAGTGGCATTGTAGGCTCTTAATTTACCTAGAAACTTTGTAACAGTTTGGTTTAGTATATGATTCTGTACATTAATCTTTTGCTTCAAACAGGTAAAGCCTTCTGTCCACTGAACGCATTTATGCCTGTGCTTTTGATCCTGTGTTGGCTGGTGTTAGATGTAGAATAAGACCACATTAACCAAAGGATGTCAAGTTATTAGTCCCTGGCTGCTTTTCCTGCCAGATCTGTAAAATGTCTAAAGAAAAGTCAAATAAGACTGACAGTATTGCACTGTACTAATGATGTTTTTTTTCCTTTTTCAGGCGGTCAAGCCTGTCCTGTTATTCTCTGGGATTCCTCACTGAGTCCAACAGATAATAGTACCCATTCTTCAGTGAGGTTAACATGGGGACGATATCAGCAGCTGCTGAAGCAGAAATGCTGGCAGAATGGTAAAATTCCCAAAGCTGAGTGGGGCTGTACTGAAATCCACCATCATGAATGGTCCAAGATGGCACTTTTCGATTTTCTTCTGCAGGTAAATCGCTTAGTGAACACAACTATCTGCTTCAAAAGTCATGTGAGCAAATATTGCACATCCCCACCCCTCAGAGGTAACTGAAGTGGTTTAGGTGAGCTGCAATCCAGATCAAGATAACAGCTGTAGTTGCTAGTTTTCCTTTTTTAAAAAAGCTTAGCCAATGAGTTAGCAAGGAAAGAGTAGAGCAGTAACTGATGAATGATGTAGCTGCTGCTCCTTGTTTAAGTATTTCACAATATCATTAGCTTTCCAAATAACACCAAACTAGGGCACTGCCCAGTGGTATAGTGTGTGGCTACAGTTACAGCAATTATGTAGTAGAATATTAGCACACTACCTGCATTAACACGGCCTGAACTGAATCACATATCTGGAAGACGATTTTATGGCTTCCTGAGATAAAGTGCTGCTTTAAATTGTACTTATCTACCAGATAGGTACAGGTGACTGAGCCTCCTGCAGCACTTGCTGGTGTATTTAAAACTACATCAGGCACTAATTTTACACACTGTGTTTGGTTGTTCACATAATTTAATTTTTAATAAGGTTAAATTTCTTGAAATTTAAAAATCATGACTTGGCTTATGCATAGCCTATCCCTGTTCTTCTCAGTCCTGTTACAGAATGATTTCACATCTCTAATTTTTTTAGTTATATTTTTGCATATTTGTTACATTAAACAGAGAATTCAATTCTTCTCCAAAAATTGATTGTCACTTGTCTAATGACTCCATCTTTAGTGCCATTATGAGCAAGTAATACTTAGAAATGGGTATAAAGTCATATTAGTCTGTTGCTAAACAGTAATGCCCCTATAGGAATGATACAGTTTGCGTCAGAGTTAATGTTTTCATGCCATTATATTCTCATTTAAAAGTTTAAAAAATCTCATGAGTTCTGTGTTGATTTCTAATTTTAAGGTCTTCTAAGAAAGTTTTTAATATTCATAATAGAGCTCCTATTGTCCAGAAGGAGCTGGATCTTAAAATAAGATACAAAAGGACTGAACTTTACATGACAAGAAACAAATTACTCTTGTTCTAGTAGTTGGTATCAGAGAGATTTATGCCTCTGGTTGCCTACCAGACAAGAACATGGATGCCAGATAGTGAGTGAAAGTAAGCCTTATGGTTATTAAAACCAAAATTTTATCTGGGTGATCTCATACTTAACTTTAGAATTTTTCATCAATAGAAGGCTCTAAAAAAAAAGAAAAAGCCAAGAAGGGGTTCTGCATTAAAAAAAAAAGAAAAATCTGTGCTTCTTGAGTCATTCAGAAATAAAGAATAATGGTGAAAAATTTACTCTTAAACATACTTTACTCAGAAGAATGGGTTTGGTGCCTATAACAGATGTTCCTGATCTCTGGTTTCAAATGCTATAAAACATAGGAGCAGGGTGAAAAATGCTTATAACTGGCCTTTACTTGCCTTCTGCAAAAACTCAAGCAAAATAAGGACATAAATGTAAAGTTACTTCTTTAATTTTGGGGGTTTGGACCTCTTATGTACATAAATGTATAACAAAAAAACATGCTAAACTATTAAGGTTGCAGCATCAATTCCAGAGTGTCCCATCATAATGGCACTGAAATGAGGGAAGATATTACAAAGAGACTGTCTGTAAAACATGATCTCCTTGTCTATTTAACTCCCACAGTGAAGTGTGGTGCAAATGAAATAGGCCTGTACATCAAAGGAACATCAAATGTCTAGAATGACTCTGCTTCGCTTTTTTTACCTTTGGATGAGTTGAATAAGAGATCCCAAGAGCTAAACGCTGGAAGCAAGAGAGACTCCATCACCTGCAGATGCTGAATGCTGCCCATGAAAGGAGAAAGAGACAGAGAAATCTCTTCCTCGGGATTTTGACATTTGAAAGCAAACACTGTCAGCAATACTGCTAGCAATAGAACTACATATAAAAAAACCCCAATCAACCAAACCCAAACAAATTCTCAGACTTTCATTTGATGAAATAGGAGGCCTTTTCATTTCAACATGCAACCTAGTTCTACATTAGGTGAAAAGTCCTAACAGCTCATTTCACTGGGTTGTCACAAAAATAAAGTTGTAATTTTAGAAGGTTTATGTGAGCATTAACGCCTCTGTGCTTAGAGCAGTGTAAAGACTTAGCAGTAAACAAGAAAGAAGGAGAGAAAATTGTTTTACCTTTGATAAGCTACTCATTCATCCCTAGATGCTCCAGACCAGACTTCTACTCTCTAATCACCTCTTAGCAGGGGCAACTCTGCTCCCTGGGAAAATGAGCTGGAGCCAAGGGCAGCTCTAGGGCAGGTAGGACAGGCAGGGCCAGCAGCAGGAGAGGCAGCCCAGCAGGCTGGATAGTGAAAGCCAGGGGTCCGATTTGTAGTCCAGTGAGCATCAGGCACAGACAAGGCTGCAAGGCAATTCAAAGACCAACAAGCATGAACCCCGAGCAGCAACCCAGAAACATCAGGTAGCAGGACAAGCAGCAGATAACCACCCATTGCTTTGAAGGGCTCAGAAGAGGGCTGAGGTGCCAGGCCTGAGCTTAAAAGGGGTTCCTGTGCCCAGGGGCAGAAGTGAGGTATGTGGAAGTCCCAGGTGAGACTTCTCAGGGCAGTTCAGGTTGATTTTTGCACTCAGGGCCCTGGCAATGTTGAGCATTTACTCTCATCTAGTCAACAGGGGTAGAAGCACTTTCAAGGAGTGATTTATCCTTCCTGTATTAGATGATTATCCTAAAATGGCATACATTGCTCTGGATGTGCCTCATTCTCTTCATTGTTTATGAAAGGGAAAAGAAATGACTAAGTCAAAAGAGATGCTTAACATTTACACCACTAAAGTTAGACCAGATGTGTGTATTCCTTCCTGCTAAGTGCTTTGTGATGAATAATAGAGGGTTTGCATGGGAAAAAAATAGCCTAGACCATAATATCATTAAAGTTTATTCCACAGTGCAACTCAGGGAGGCTGCTCTATGACTATAAGTTCACCATTCTTGCATTTTATAGCTTCTGATGGTTTGCTGTGGCCCCTACTAGTCTTTTCAGTTATTTTGTGTACTGTTAATCTAAGAGATCCCACAAAATGAAGATCCTCTGTGTGTGTCAGACTGTGCTATTTCTATTGTTCTCCAACAGAGAAAATGTAAAAAAACCCTACAGCCTTCTGAAAAAAAAAAAAAAGAATTGTATTCACCATCCTGTTATTTCAGTTACACAGTGGTATTGTTCCATTATTTTCAAAGAATTTCTACTGACATAACAAATCATGGCTGTAAAATGGATAGAATACACAGTCTGAGACATTGCTTCTAGCAGTAGATGAAGTATGGGGACCAGGTCTTCAACGCCATTTCACTGCTGACTTTAATTATACTTGTCCTGAGCTTGCCTTCCTGTCAGCTATGTTAGTGAGTGATGCCTTGCAGTGACACTTTGCCCCAAGTACTTTGGTATTGTTTTCACTTGGCACTCTGCTGTACTTTGTTTTAGATCTATAATCGACTAGACAGAAACTGCTGTGGATTCAAACCTCTCAAGGAGGATTCCTGCATGCAGCAAGGACTGAAGCTGAAATGTAATGATCAGGATGCTGTTGACCTGACACACATAGTTCAGAGAAGGCATGACCAAAGGCATTTGGCCTTTATAGACAATAAGGGTTTCTTTGACAGAAATGAGGACAATCTTGACTTCAAAATACTGCAAGGAATCAATGAGTAAGTTTTAAGTTAATAATTTTGTAATAAGAGTGATAATTTCTTCCCGATTTGAGTATGAGACTCTTAAGTTACCGGAATAGATATCATTGGTCAAGACATTGACAGGATGTGCCTAAAAATGTATGAGTAATCCCACTGCTGTACAAGATACAGTTAACATGTATATGGTTAGGCATGCATGGAACTTCATTTGCTGAGTTGCAGAGTTCAGTCATGGAATTGGTTGCTAAACCACAACATAAATATTGCAATTCAGAGTAATGGCAAAGCTGATGAATTTCTTTGTGCTTTTCCAGATTCCCTGAATCTGCAGTTTCAGTACTGAGAAGCCAGCGTTTACGTGAGAAGTTGCTCCAGTCTTTGTTCCTTGACAAAATATACTGGGAGAGCCAAGGAGGCAGAAAAGGAATTGAAAAGCTTATTGATGTAATAGAAAGGAGATCCAAAATTCTTCTTACTTATATAAATGCACATGGAGCCAAAGTATTACCCATGAATGAATGAAACAGTCTTGCTTCCATCTGAGAGACAGTCCTTAAAAAATTCTGTGTGGGACAAAAATTGACAGTAAAATTGATTTAATTCATAGAATTATTTAATTCTTTCCTCCAAACTTTCAAATTTATTTTTAAATAAGGAATCTTACATGGTTTAAAAGCAACACTTAAATGTCAGCTGCAGCTTAACACAGTGAAGTCTCTTCTGTGTCACCAGTGGCATGAAAAATAACCAAATGGTACAATAAATAATATACAGTAATATGTAGGTACCATGAACACTCCTTCTGTTAAACTGTTTGAAAATTAGTAACAGGGTTTTCAGTACATTAGTCTGGATTACTCTTTCTTCCCTCTTTCAAGTCAGTATAAGTTTTTCTCACAAGTTTAAATGGGACCAGAGATGTGTAAGCTTAATACATTGATGACAACTGTCATCACATCTACTTGCTGGAACATATATACAGGAACTTGTCTTTTTATTAGGAATACTAAGATCCCAACATTTCCAAAGGCTTGTTTTATTTTATTTTGGTCTTTTGAAATCTGAGAACTAAATTCAGCTCTTTTAAAGGCAGGAGTGCTTGCACTGGACATGAAAGAATTTTAAAAGTAGAGTAAGGAGAACATGGCTTTAACAGTAATAACTATTTTGACAAATACAGTTTTTGCCTGTCCAATCTGGAGTACAATTCATCATGAGTCACTCAGTAAAATGTACTATTTTCAATGCAAGTTGTTCTGATGTGTAGGTGGATAATCTGATATTGTCTGTCTTTTGATTTCTCACAGAATTGTCCTTTGCTACCACTATTTTTAAAAGTGGCTTTAGCTTTTTGTGAATATGCTGCTACGTTTTATTTTTGCAAAATTCTTGACAATATTTTTGAGAATTATCAAAAAGCAGACCTACTAACAACATGAGCGTTGTTAAATCCAGCACCCAGGATATGTTTGTTCTGTGTGCTCAGCTCTAGACAGCAGTTCAGGCTCTGATTTTCCATTATGACCACTGTGGAGCGATAATTCTAGATGATGACTTGTCCCAAGTGTTCCCACAGGTAAGGTTGTTAGAGAAGGTTGGATAAGCACTTCAGATTTCTATCCTCCAGAAATAAAGTATCAATTGATTCTACCTGTTTGTTTAGAAAGACTTTTATCACCTTTCTAGAGAAATATCTATCATCCGCTTGCCATGAGATAATGGTAGAAGTTGGATGCTTTCGTAGCTACTCTTGTCTTTATGTAGAGTAAAAAAATATATGATGTATAAGATTTAAAAATATTTCTAAAAGTGCTTGTTTAATGTCATTAATGAGAAACTAAAAATGTCTTATCACTGTTAGCATGGATGGCTGAATTTAACATTTTGAATACCTACAATACCACTAAAACCAGCTTAAATCAGTTTTTTCTTTAGTATCAGAAAACCCATTAACAATGATTGCATTACTAGAAGAAATAGATCTCATTATAGACAGAGTTGAAAATACCTTGTAAAATTTTAAGAGCTTAGCCAGCTAAGTAATATCTTATTTTATTTTGTGGGCAAAGAACAGATATAAATTTGTTAAAACTTACTAGAACTTATTGCCTTGAAAACACATGTTTTAGAGTGCGTTAGACTTTTTAATATCAGAAAAGTAGAATTTTATAGGACTTTCATCTTAGCCCTTTCTTAAAAATGTTGTAACTTATCAGCCAGATGATTTTTTTTCACAGAAACAAAAATGTTAATTTGGCTTGCACTGTGAACAGAGTCTAGAGGAAGAAATAATCCTCAAGATCCATTTTGCATGGAATTCCTGTTGCAGTGAATTTCACTCTTTGATGGCCATCATGATCAATTTGTCTCATTTTCTAGCCTATCTCAGTTTTCTTCCTGCAAGATATCTGTTCAAATGGATTATTTCCAGAATTGGCTCATTGCCCAAGAGGAGAAGGAAATTGAAAGTAAGGATTTTTTTACCTTTTTTCAGGTTGGGTCGTTTATTTTTATGGTGATAATTTGATGCATTCTTCTCCATTTCTTCTGGACATGGACTAGTGTTTCCCTGAGCATGACACATGCTCTTTTATTTGCCTGGCAGTTCAGTGCCAGCTCTTAAAGCAGCAATGTAATTGCCTACTTGTAAGAAATTGCCCTGAGGCTGATCTGGACCATGACCTCTCAGTTGTCCTGAGTTTAAGAGATCTGAACAGCCATGATGCTGTGCAGTACTTGAAAATTTGACCAAGCATGAAAAGCTTAACTGTAAATAGTAGAATTTCTGGAGACTTTCCAAGGGCAAAGAAATACTTCTTTCTCTGAAAGTCTGAATTTGTGTCTAGGACAAGGCATTCTGCATGCTGCTCTCATCTTACAATGCTGCATTCTTATTGCACTATGCATAGCTGGAGGCTTTGCTCTCTATGCTGTATTATCATGCCATATTTCTTATCTGTGCAGTCACTCTCATAAGTCTTCAGGTAAGTCAGGAGAAGCTGTGTGATATTGGACAGTGGGATTGGACTGTAAATTGCTTCTGATTCTCTGATGTTCATAACAAACTCCAGAAAGTGCTTTTTTCTCCATAATGTTTATCCTGTTGCTGTGGAGCTTGGTATTTGAATCCAGTATTGTTAATAATGCAAAGTATGATTGCAATAGCACTTGTAAGTGCATACGAGCCAAGTTCTAGGGGTTTGTTTTATGATATTGAAGAATTCTGTATTTTTGGAGTGCATTTGCATAAATGCTACAGTAAAAAAATACAAAAAAGCACTTTGTTGAGTTTGTTCATTCTCTGCTACTGCATTCAAGATACCTGCTATCCCTTCAGTAACAGGGGTAAAGTTTATTAAGAAATCAGTTTACTTCCTTTGAAAGCAGCATGACGTTGGACTGACAGGAACTGCACTGTGGCCTAAATAATATTAACTGACAGGGCAAATCCTGAAGAAGTCTTACTCAACCTATGGTGATCAATAGAAAGCCAAGAGTCTGTGCTTTAGTCATCTTTACTGGGCTGTCTTCCATTTCTGGGCATGTGGGATCACACAAAGATTGGTGTTGCACATTGCTTGGAAGGGTGTAACCAACAGCAACAGTGCAAAACCTGTGGGTGGGAAAAGGCGATTATGTCATTCTTAAATCTGCCTGAAAGCCAGAACCACATGAAATGGAATTACTAAGAAAGTCAAAAGAGTCTGCTGATTTCGTAACATTGGAAGACAGAGCTTAAAATAAGTAGCACAGGCACAGATGCCTTAAAATTCCTCGGGAGCCTGCCAGCAAGTTAATACTCTTAAATGTTTCAGAAGCTGAGGACATGAAAACTTCTGTGGAGCACTGTGAGAGCAGTTTCCTTCTTTTTTCGTGTGTGTAGTCCATAACTTGCTACATTAAAATAAAATAAAATAAAGATAAATTCCATGGTTTCAAATGAGCAAATACAGATTTAGGATACACTAAGGGACAAGGTTCCATTAGCAATCCGGGGAACACTTTTGTGCGCATGTGTGTGTATGCCAAACAAACATACATGTATATATTTGTATACCTGGGCTTGTTCCTATAGAATGGTCAATTTGGCTAATAAAGGGTGAGCTGTTTATGTAATTTACTGTTTATATGTAGAATTGTATTTGTATGTAAGTCAAATTTCGGGTATACACAAGTTGAAGTTTAAACAAAACATTATTATAGATGAAACTTTTGTTCTCTAGGGATTAACTCTTCCCTTGCCAACACATTTATGTAACCTTATAAGTTTTTTGTTTGTAGGGGAAAATAGCAATATGTTTGTGCCTGAGCTAAACTGCCAGAGTGATATCAACTCAGAGGTTTTTAAAAGTTTTGTACTAAATATTGAATTTCTGTTTTATTTTGGAATTTTTGAATTTTAAGAGTCAGTTTGTTTATCCTTTAATTAATACCAGTAAAAGCATGTTCACAAGTAATGAATCATTTGAATCTCTGCTGCTATTTTCATATGGTGTCTAGGAATATACAAAATAAAAGAATATCTTTATCAGATTTTCTGTTCAGCTCTCTAAGTTGCAACAACAAAACCATAACTCAATAATTATTGTAATATGTGGATCATTAGTTACTGTTCAGAAAGAATTACAGTCTTGCAACTGCTTCTTCACAGAAACAATCCAAAACAGATTATAGGGATCTTTCTGTTGAAATATTTTCTAGCTGTTTACTCATGAGACTTGCAACTCTTTCTTACTAAGCTGATGCAGTGTATCTGTGAACCTTCTGGTTACTGAAGCACTGGTATTTACTACCTTCTTTAGCCATTCTGACAGTACCTACTTACACAAACATTGAACAGAAAAGGCCATGGCAATTTATGATGCCAGAGCAGAAGTATTGGTCAGTGACTCGTAAACTTTCTAACACACCATGAGCAAACACAGGAATAGAAGAGAGACAATGAACTCCACATGGAATAGAGACTCACACAGAGTTAAAGTAGCCTAAGAACTTTTGGCCTCTGAAGTTTACATTTTTTGCCACGATCCAAGAGAGACTAATGGGAAACACAAAGATGCTGAAACATTTTCAAACATTCTCTTTCCCACATAAAGCAATTTCCTTTGTTTTATTAAGAATATTATTTATTTTTGCACATTATTGCATGCTTCAGGCTGAATTCTATCAGATACATTTGTGTGAATTAATTTCAATTTCGCTGAATTATCCCATTTCCAGATAAAACATTTTAAGTCAGTTAGGTTAATCCATATTCTCAGAGATTGGAGAACTGAACCCTAAGGTCAAAAGGAGAGCTTAGAAGACTAACATACAAATAAGGAGAGTTGCCTGAAATATAGCATGGATATAGAACCTGGAATGTAAGTTCTCTAAACAATATCTGTGGGCTCTAAGCAGGATCTACAAGTGTTCTTTGAAGACTACCAGCGTGTTCTACCTGTATTTCTGTGTGTCAAGACATTCACAGGGGACAAGTTCAAGGACAGGAGGTTTATATATGGACTTTGTAAAAATTAGGCAAGCTTTTATCCTCTAACATTTCTTATAGAACAGTTCTGGATACCGGGGAATATAGGGGAAAGGGGCCACAGATAATGCCCTAAGCTCACATGCTCACCTCACAGTGCCACAATCCAAGAAGTACTATTTGGCTGGGTGACCCCACTGGTGGTTTTCCAAAAGCAGTTCCATGGATTTTGTTCTTTTGGAAAAGATGAAGTACACAAAAAATGCAGAAACCTTTTTTTTCCACTGTGATGCATTGTTTTATCTGGGTATACCAATGCCGTTACTTATTTGACTGAAATAAGTAGCTTTCTCTAAAAATTAGTTCAGTTTCAGTAGTTATTTCCTTTTTAGTCTTTTGCAGTACATTTACTTCTTATTTAATCATTTGGTTTCAGCATTCACTGCTCAAGAACATTATCTCTATTTCCTTCAATGGAAAAGCTGGCATGGCATTCCATAGAGGTCTGCTAAAGCTGAACAAGCACGCCTTATCAGAGGTATTCTTCAGCTGGCTGTGTGAAACACTTTGAGATTTGGATGGAATTTATTAACTGTGTAAAAGCCAGACTTATGAAGTGTGAGAATTACGTCTGACAGATGGTAAAATCTGGTAGTCCAGCGTGCTGCTATGCTCTGAGAATTCTGAAACAACTGCAGGTCAAACATCTTAATTTTCAGACATATGTGGATGTATCACATACCTAAGGCAGGGTCTTTTATGGTCACCTGGGTTTTTTTCCTATCTCAGGTCTCCTGAAATAGAAATATGCAATCAAAAAGTAAAAATGAAAAGTGACTGAAGCATACTCTAAATACAGTTGGGGCATAGTTGCAATAAACTGATGATATCCAAACAAAATCTAGACCTTAAAAACATCATCCTGAAAGAAAATGAAAGGATTCATCCTCTTAAATATGACAAGATCTGACTTAAAAAACCCTGATTATATGAGGAAAATATCTGAGGCTCCTTGTCTGAGCTATGCTCAGGACCACATGGTTGTAGCAGATCTCTCCCCGAACTCCCATTCACTCATTTTGATACCTCTTTTCATGACCACATGGACAATTCTTCCATCACATCTCATATAGGTCAGTATCACTGCCTGTACCATGAAGGTTTTTGATTGCTCTGTAAGTTTGAATACCCAGTATACTCCTAAATCCTGCTGATTCTTTCCATGTAATAGGTTTAACTTCTCCCTCTGGGGCTGAACCACTTAAATGAAAAACTCCAAACCCAACACCTGCAGTTTGTATTTTGCACCTGATCTCTACAGGATTCAAATATTTTTTGCAGCCCATCAATACCCATGTGGTTTTCTCTTGGTGATCTTCCAACAATGTGAAGCATCAATACAAATAATTTCTCAGATTTCAAATCAAAAAGTAACATTTTTTTTTACCAGATATTTTTCTTCTGTATAATATTTCTGTTATAGCAGATATCACTGCTACTATCCAGGATTGCAGTTGCAACTTGGATAGATAAATGCTTGGAATGCATCTCCCAATTTATTTCATGTGTATCATTATCAGAGCTTGTCCAGCTGAATTTTTGAAAAGAGTGCATAGGTGAGATATAGATTTCTATGAGAAATCTCATAAGCCTAGTTGTTGGCTTTTTTTTTTTTTTTTAAATTTTGTGATAGTTGGGTGAGAGAATATGAGATCTGTTATCACATAGGTAATCCAGAAACTGCTGCTTGCGCCATCTTGACTGATCACTGTTGTGGCCCTCATTCCTCCTGCTGTGGGTTCCTTTTCTCCTGTGGGTTCCTCCTGTAGTTATTCAGGTCCTGCTGCACTTTTAGCTAGGAGACTTCCACTACAAGGTCGCTGCTTGAGAAGGCTTTGTTTCTCAAAAGGGAAGGGGAAATAAAAAACCCTATTACATACGCTAAAGATGCAGTATACTGTTTGCTTAATAATCAGACTTGGAAAAGTTGTATTATGTTATAGTCCTGTTTCAGTGCTGTTCTGCCTTTTTCTGACCCTCGGCAGGGAAGATACTTCCCCACACTCAGTGCACTGCCTGAGCCATTGCTTCCAAAGTTACTTCCTGAGGTATGAGGCTCTTTCTATGCAGCTGCAGAAGTCTCCATGCTTAGGATTGCAGCTGAGGCCTGGGCTGATTCACAAGATTTATATCCCATTGGGTAGTACTGATAGTTCTGTGGTACTTGCTGCTGGGAAGTGCAATATACCATCAAAACCTGCACTTCTAGTTGCACTTGAATGCTTGCTTGGCTGTATCAGCATGAACTAAGCCAATAAGGCAACTCATGCGACAGAAGCGTTGATGTATTCTGAGAGCCGCAAAAGGTCAAAGAACAAAAGAGATTAAATCCCCATTAAAATCACAGCTTTCCACTTCATTTTGCTTTGCGTGCTTGTGTGTCCAAACTTGAACTTGAAATGCTGGTTTGCAAGTAGCTATAATGTGCAAACACAGCTTTTGTCAATTTGTTAGTGTTTGTGTTGCGAAGCAAGAGATCCGAGAGCCAAAGAACAACAGATTAAAGCTTATGCAGTGTCAACACCATAGTGGGAAAGAATTCTTACCCTTTATCACAGTCTTATCTGAGTGATAATCTGCATGGCCATGAAGAGCTGACTCCTATTTTTTGTTACACTGTTGCCTTAGTGCTAAGATTTCTTTGATTTTCCGATGTTAGCTTTACCACCCAGTGTATATATCCTCAGGCTTTCACAATTGCTGTCTTTCCTGCTAAGAAAACAGAACTTACACATGTTTCAGTACTTCTTGGCACCCTGCCTCCCACATATAGTTAGGGTCAAATTTTCAGCCTATTTGCTTTCCCTGATTTTAAGTATAGGTAATAGTATAATTAGCAAAGAAAAATAAGTAATTTTTTCTCTTTGGTGGGGGATAAGTCCTGCCAAAACCTATGTAAATATGTCTTGTAAGGAGGGACTACAAATGATCAGAGAAAAGTGTACTTCAGAAGTGCAGATCTGAGAATATGGTCTGATACTCATTCAGTTTTGCAAAAACAATTTGTGAAGATCAATATTATGACTATTCTACTTTTTAAGGAGTGAATGAACATTAAAGAAAATGAAGAGAATTTCCTTGACCAAAATTTTTGTAAACTGCCACCCTCCCTGTCACTATATGATGATTAAAGCCTGGAAAAGTCCTGCACTTTGGATGACTTTCAGTGGAATCCAGATAAAAGGAGGCTATATTTTCTCACATATCTGGTTGCAATCTGCTCTCCTCCAGCCTACATCCCTGGAGGCCACTCTTACAACCTCATCTTGGAGCCACAATAGGACTGTGTTGCAACACGATGTATGGTCAGCTTTGCTAGATTTCTTCCCACTCTTGCATATGTTTCAAGTCCATAATGAAGTCCTCACTGGCATTAGTGGAAGAAAAGGCTGCATTCTTTAAGGCTCAAAACTGAACCTCCAGTTTCAGGGAAACTTCTGCAATTGTTTCCCATTTCTCACTTGGCATACAGATGTCACCAAGATCTGTTCAAGCATTCTGGACTGAAATGAAGTATGCATTGTGCAACTTTCATATTTTCAATGGAGAAAAACTTTTCCAATTTACTGTAAATTTCTGTAAACCTAAGCCTTTAGTCTTCATATTGAGTTGTGCTTGAAGCCCAGTGGAAGTGGTGTGTCTTCTTGCTAGGGATGGTGAGCGTAACAGAGATCAGAGCTTAATTCCTCTGTGTGTTGGAGAGCTACTCTGACATGAATGTGCTGAGAGCCAGTTGGAATGAGTTCTACAAAAGATTGTCAGAAATGCCCATTTCAAAAAACTGTTGTCATGGTTTCCTTTACAACTGAAATGGTTCTTTCCCCAGTAGAGAGGTGGGTTACCTACATTCGAATACTATTTAACTGTGGGGAATTTCAATTCAATTTCAAGTACTTTTCAATTCCCAAGTGGGCTCTGGAAAAGGACCACTTTGGGAAAGTTTGCAGCTGTTAATTCCCAATGAAAATGATAATTTCCTCCA